ATGGTATAATAACAAAACGCGAGGAGCCCAAAAACGGCGACCAAGATTTTTCGAAAGCCTTTTCCTTGAAGAAAAATTTTCCTCGGGGAAGTTTTTATTATAATTTTTCGGATCACTGGACTTTGGGCTAGGGGGTGAACAGATGAAAAGTTTTTGGGGGATAAAAATATGCCGCTTATATCGAGGTTGGGAATATTAACTTTTTACGTGCCTTTAGTATGGGCGCTTATTGTTAAGTGGTTTTAAACTATATCCTTATTCGAATAAATACGGTAATTATACTAGTAAAACCACAAAATTTTTAATGTTAGTGTGACTTAGTGTGTTCCCACATGCATTTAGATAAGACCGAGTAAATAAACTGATCGTCTCTCTTTTTTTAATTATAAATGATTTGCATGCAATGTACGTACACTTAATATATTTTTTATGGACATATCTCAGAAGGCGTGCTAGTAAATAAAAATCAGATGTAGATAATATCAGTCCTGCTCCTGGTTCAGCTGAATGGTCACAAAATTTGATGCTGCGAGACTTGCGCGCACCAATAATCATATCACGGGTATAATCTACTTGCTTTAGAGCGAAGGCCGCCTTAAACTCGTTCCATTGCTGATGCTATACTTTGGACAATCATCGTTGTTTCGTTGTCGCACATAAATGTATGGGATAACCATATTTATAAAGTGGTTTCCAAACACCCATTACAGCTGTAATTCATGCTTAAACATTTCTTTTTCCTATTTCTTTTTTTACTGTTCCCTTCAAAGAAATTAGAATCTTCAATTATTGGGCCTCTTTTGTTAAATGATTTTTTAAGACCACTTTTATGAGGGTCTTAATGGCGTTAACCGATAGGCGTAAAACAGCCAAAAATTTAGTCGATAGCCGTGAAAACTGAAAAATTTTAACCGTTAGCCGTAAATAGGGGAAAAAAGTGTTAACCGTAAAAGAAATTGTTCCCTAGATTTGTTAATTTTAAGGAAGGTGCTAAACTCACTTATGGTTGCGTTATTTATTTCCCGGCTACTTTGACTCCGTACGCACGTTAGGCCAAGCGCCATTACGTTGTGACCTAGACCAGGGGCTCCTGCCTAGACCTAGACTCCATTTCCGCCGCTCTCTCGGGGAACTTATTTTTTCCATGGCAAAAATCTAACTTTTTGCTGGGGATTAAAATTTGCGATTTTCAGGAAGTCGTGCCCTCGAAATACTAGTGAAACAATACCCAGAGATGTCACTTTTTGTAAAACACGTTGCCGATAAACAACAATTCCCTGTTTTTCTCTGACGTTAAGGTAGACATTGCCATGCCTAGTCCCTGCTCGACGTCTTCCCACGCAATCTCGGTGAAGGCATTTCGGTGGCGTATCTCGGAAAAAAACTCACTCGGACCACGTGACCCGAAACGCATTAGCCGCGCGGAATAATGAGGCCTATGGACAAGGCAACGGCAGACAGTCTTTCTGTACAGTCCTTCGCTATCAGTAAAAACTCTGAACACCGGAATTTTGTTATTGGCCGTTTTCAAACTAGAGCAAGAAATGGATTATTCGTCTGGGACTGGCCTGTGCACAGTCGCCCCCCCCCCCTCCCTCACAGACACTCTTCTCCGATTTTTTCTGTGGGGAGGGGGCGGCTGTACATAGCCTATCTGTAACGGATAATCCATCTTCAAACTGTCCCTCAAAATTGACGGATAAAGTCAGGCGGATTGTTCATTCAAAATTAAAACCCTTTCCATTTCAATTTAAGACGTTTTACCTATTACCGCGAATTATCAAACCGATAACCAATCTCACATGAATAATCCGTCTCTAGTGTGAAAACGGCTATTTCTGTTATAAATGAATGTCCCCCCCCCCCCATTCCTTGAATCACGGGGCGTTCGCGTGTCTACTTTTCCTTTTTCACAAAGATTATTTTTAAATTGACTATTGACATTTCTATGCGTAAAATAATATTAGTTATAGAATACTTTATAAATAGTATGATTTATCTGAAATGTTGATTTTTTTCCAAAGAATAACTTCTAAGACCGTTATTTTGCTTTGAAGATACAAAAAATACAGGCTTATTAATATTTAACCCTTTGAAACAAAAGAAATTAATTTTTAACTTTTTTTGTTAACCGTAACTGAAAAAAATTAACCGCACGCTCCCACGACCGCCCCAGTTTCGGAGAGATTCACTACGGAATTACTATACGTCTGCGTTCTACAAGGAACTTTTTTGAGCGACGCATGTCAACCAGAATAGTGAGCTTTTTGCTATTTTGATATGCCTTGACGCTACCAAATTTAAATTGTTAACTCATAAAGACGATTTGCCCCAAAAAATTATCAAAATCAAGGCTCAAAAGTGTAGAAAAGCTCGCTTCCGTTTGGTGTGCGTGGCTCAAAAACGTCGCTGCTTCTAGCCAGTGAACGCAGACATAGTTCCGGTCGTAGTGAATCTCTCTAAAACTGTTCGATAAATTGGCTCATATTTTCACAGATAACTGCCGGAAAATGGCGCGTTTTGGCTTTTGCGCTGCTTCATCCTTGATTTGGGGGGATGGAAGCCGCTGTTCCATTTTATTCTGTCCTAGCCTCCCCGCAGACGTCCTTTGGGGTTCGTTGGTCACGCATTCATTTTGACAAACGAACCCCAAAGGACGTCTGCGGGGAGGCTAATCTGTCCAAGATAATGGCTACTTTGGAGATAGTTTTTGGCCGAAAAAACTGTTGGCGCAAAAGGTCCATTTGTCGATCAAAAATCCGGCTAGATATATAGCTGAATTCTATTAAAGTAAGATTGAATAATTTACATTCCAAAATTCCCAAAGATTTCTATCAAAAAAATTAATTTAGGAATTTGGCTTTAACCATTTTCATGGGTACCCTCTAAGGTCCATTTGTCGATCAAAAATCCGGCTAGATATATAGCTGAATTCTATTAAAGTAAGATTAAATAATTTTCATTCCAAAATTCCCAAAGATTTCTATCAAAAAAATTAATTTAGGAATTTGGCTTTAACCATTTTCATGGGTACCCTCTAACCCTTTACTGCCTAGGAAATCAAAGGATTAAAAGAGTACACCGGCACAGAGTTAATATTGACATTCTCCGACAGTATTAATTAACCTGTGATCAGGCTGTCCTTCTTCCCTTTAAAAAAACCCTCGGATCGCAGGTTAGCTATTAATTACATTAGTTTTTTTGCCTCTGATTATGATGAATACGATTGTTGATGTTAATAAGAAAGCAACAAAGTTTTCCAAACAGAAAAGCTATTTTGTGACATTTATCTGTCCATCTGATGACCCAGTGACATATTAACTTACTATATGCTCAACGGCTTTTTATGAACTTGTATTACTATAGGAAAAAGTTACCAGGGTTGTACCAGGCAAACAGGAATCGTCAGTCGAAGAGCTGGTTGTAGAAATTTCAAGGAATAATTCATCTTCTAATGCTAATGTTAACAAGATTCTGTGTTTGAAATCAAAAACATTGTTTTAACAGACCCAAAAGATCGTCAAGTTAAATATTACTACCCAGAGAAAAGAGCGTGACTGTTATCATTGGATCTGGCTAGAAGAAAAATGGCTAAGAGAAATCAGTATTTTTCTTTCAATTGCATGAAATTTTTACTTAAATACGAGCAGCTGATGTTGCAATTTTAACTATTAAGCTAGTGTTTCGCCGGTCTTTCTAAAACAGTTTCATTTCTTAAAACCCTTATATCTTTATGACACTTGAAATGCAAGAAAAAGGTAACATGAAGGGACGTGAAAGATAACGTCGACAAAGTACAAAAAACAATAGGAAGAGCCATAATTATGGCTCTTGACAATAGCTAGTGTGAAGGAGCACTTTAAGTTGTCACTGAGGGAAACAAATGGTCCAGAAGGTACAGTTTTCACTAAAGAAAACCAAATGTTCTCTCTTCCTGTTTATATGCAACGGGATGAACAGGCTGACAGAAAATGCCAGTTCTATAGATCCTTTGCTCGCCTGACTAAGTTGAGCTTTTAACACGTCTGACTGAACGCAGATGGAAAACCTACACGCGGTTTCTCACTTCAAGCCCCAGCACAAAACATTTAGTGCTTTGAACCACAGGCCGACATCCGAACTGCTCGAGACATCGCAGATATCAGTATTTCATTTCTCGATCTCATACAGCCTCTTATTTTCAACGGTCGCCTGTAATGCCACATGACAAAGGTCACGCGTTTCTTACACACCCGTTTCTCGTAATGTGAGTTTGGGCCACCTGTGAGAGTGTGAATTTTAGCAAATTATCACGAAACTTCGTGTGAGCATTAAGGACAAGAACAGCTAACAGCAGAGCAAGTTTTATATACTTTTATTTGGCATTTCCTATAAATTTCAGGATCGTATTTTTACCCCCTACATACACTCTCTAATTTTACTGGATTGGTACTGTGGCACTATCACAGGGCCTGGGCTACCTGTGGACAAATTTGTCCTTCAATAGAACTACCCACAATCCTCCTCAACCTTTTCGTGATGTTTTCGTAGCAGAGTTTATTCCCAAGAATGACCAAGATGTAGCACAAAGTCTTATAGCAGTTGCCATCGAGGGACCTCCCAGCATTGCTGAGGACGTAAAATGAGCAATGAGCAAAAACAAAGCGCGGAATCGGAAGATCAGCAGGAAAATGCTCTGATCTGCTCAACTGGTAGTGCCGGTACGTAAACCTTTGAAGTGCAGTTTGTATATGCATGACTCATCGTAAAGTCGTTTCGGGACAAGTTTTGCGCTAATAATTTCCGATTTTTTGTCTGTTGTTCACAGGTGGGGCCAGTGATGGCCAGGAAGATGTCAGATCACCCGACGGTAGAAAATTTAAGGTGGAAATGGATGAAATCACAGAGCGAATTCGGATTTCGGAGACGAAGCTTGTATCCTTCGATTTTCAGGATAACGAACAACTTGTTGCAGGCTGTAATCTGTAAATGGGCCATATATTACTGTTTCTGTTAGAGCAATGTTTTTGTTTAAGTCTTTCGGAGTAATGCATAAGGGTAGCTTAAGTATGGAAAATGTTTGTTTTCTTTTCTATTTGTCGTAAAACATCCGTAACTGTCAAATAGAAATCCCTTGAAAAGGAAATGGCTAGCTCCAGTAACGAGGTGACCATCAACCAGGATACGCTACAGAGAGAACTGCAAGACCTTCGTGCTCTAAAGGAAAAAGTCATCGATGAGAGAAAACAGCACGATGGTGAACTAAAAGGACTGAATATGCAAGTTCAAAGAAAGGTACGATTTTGGTAATACTAAATTTCATGTTAGAGTTTTCACGCGGCTGATCGAAGCGAGCTTGTAGATTTCATCAAATGAAATATATACCTAATTTCCTTCGTAAACTTTTAATTTTAAAGCTATCGATTTGTTAAGATTAAGTTTAAAAGTAATTAAGGTAAGAACTACGACAGTTGAATTACTTGTGTTAAGAAATTACGAAAACTTTCTAAACTGCTGCAAACAGTTGGACGACGTATGTCAACTATATAAGCTTATTAGCTAAATGTAGTTTGTTATGTTGTCTTGAATCAGCTGTGTTTAGCGGGAAACATGTTTTTGCTGTTTTCTTTCCTATCACTGATTTGATTTATAGTTTTTATCGTGGCCATAAGGTGAAATTACATAAATTTCTGATATTAAATACAAATTTATTTACCCTAAAATTGCTCGCACGATAGTTTTTGTTGCAGTCATGCAAGTTCAATTGTTGAATTATCAGCATTAGGGTGGGGAGGGGGAGGAGGTCATGTTTTGCAGCAATCCAGGAAAGTAAGAGGTGATGTTGTATTTTCAAAAAAGACGGTCACCTCAGAATAACTTACTAGTTTATGTTTTCCTTTTCCAATTACTTTGGAGTATCACCGTAGCCTATGAAAAAAATTAGATAAAATAAGTCATGGTTTGAGATTATTTTGATTATTTTATAGAATGGATTTTAATAGGAAGAAATAATTGGAATATTAGGGAAAATTTTGTTTGATCAATTATCAGGCTGTGTCTTAAGCAATATTATTGCATCATTATTTTACTATTTTCTAAACATCACATGCAGGTTCAAATAATCAACACATGTTAACTATGTGATTATCAATTGAATCATATGCAACAATAAATTATGTAACTTTGGCTGTTATGTAATGTTGTTCTCAGTTAGAACTACACTTTGCACACTCATTGTCAATGTGCCTCAAAAGCTACAGTGTATATAGTAGCCAGTCAGTAGTTAGTTTTTATCCTAAAAAAGGTATATTTTTTGGTATGGGGGGAATGGTAAACTTTTGCTTCAACATTTCAGAATTTGGTCAAGTCCTGTAAAACAATCTTATTATTGGGTCCATTGTTACTCCTAAGACCTTCCTCTAACATTTATGCCGCATATCAGACACATCATAATGGTACTGCATTTTTATTTGTATTGCCTGGAAAAATTGCTGGAATTACTTAGAGAAGGAGAATTTTTTAAAGAAGAACAGTGGAGAACTTTAAATCTGTATTTCCAGGGTACTCCTAGCTTGTTAGGTCACACGCCATTCAATCATAGTTCACTAAGAAACTGTGGTGCCTATAAATAATAAATATCCAGATTTATGTAACCTTCTTTGTTATGTAATTGTGTTGTTATCAGTACAGGCCTAGGATGACAGTAGAAGGTAAATAAAAAGATGTTGAATGTTGAAAAAATGTAAGGGGGGTTTAGATTTTGTAAACTGAGACAAACGTGAAATTAACTGCCGTAAGCATGAATTTCTAAACTATTCCAAACCCGCACACCCTTTTGTTTAAACTCATCAACAAAGACGACAAGGCATGAGGGGAGGTGCCACAGATGCTGCTGGAGCCAAAAACTGCAGTCAAGTGCAGTGTGCATGCAGTGTATAACCAACCTGTGAGTAAGCGGCATCCACCCTGCAGGCACTGTAACACTTCTAACCAGTAGAACCTTAGCATGCTTACCTTATACTTACAAAAAGGTCAGGGTGGGATAGGGAGCAGAACGTTAGATGAAAATAACCAAAGTAAAGCAACAAATACAAGTGGCCTGACCTTGACAGAGAAAGCTGCAAATTTCCAAAGTCCCCTGCAAAGCTATCCCAGATGTTAATCATAGGTGAAAGACTGCTGCCAGCAGTGTCTTGAGCCTAAATTTTGTTTAGCTATGTAGCAAGAGTATGGCTGTTGTATAGACTTTGTGCACTCGGGGCATTACTTAAAACTGAACTCAGACTGTTTCTACAATAAAGTTTTCTTGGTAGTAAGAATGATATTATTGTCATTGATGATGATTTTCTCCACAGAATGATGCATGCACAAAGCTGCAGGCCGGAGTAAGGTACAAAACAGAAGCCAGAATTGACGAAGCAATCAGGTTTGTACCATTGTCAGTTTTGTGTAAGTGTATAAATACTCATATTGCATGACATCAAAAGAAAAAACAATATTGTCACAGTACAGGGAGGTAAAGGTTTTTGACGAACTCATGAGTTAATGTAAAACAAATAAAACAATAAGTGCAAAACAACAGAGATCAGTAGCATGGTTCACGTGTGCAAACGTCAAGCTGTTCATACAGTGTATATGAATTATTGTAATATCTCCCCCACATTATTTTATAGCCACAAGGCTGTCCATTGGGGTAAACAATAATACCAAGTTGAACTACAGATCTGCCAAAAAACAAGGATTTTTACTGAATTCTAAATTTTTAAGAGAATTGTGTTTTACAAAAATGTGTTTTAGTTTGGCCGTCATGTGTAACATTCACACGCACCAAATTCAAATTTTGACAACATTTCATATGTTTGCCGTTACCGATTTGAGCAGGATTGATATCCTACATCAAAATTATTTAGGGATTTTAGTTGAATGGGTCAAACTTTGTGAAGAAAAGCTGTCCTTGAGAAAAATGAGCATTTCTGCACCAGTGTACTAGTGTCACGAAAAATCAGAAATACGCATGACATTTTGATGTATAGGTTGCTGCAATGATGAAACAGCCTTAAAAACAGAATGTTCACAGGTTTAAAACAGTCAATCCTGAAAATTTCAGCTAATTTCATCGTCATCTTCCCAAGAACGAAGCAAATTTCTTTTTCACAAAAACTGTGAAACGCACGATGTTTACACCAGATTTTTGCAACGAAGGCAAAATGTAAACAGTCCCCATGTGCGAAGCATAAAACCGACCATGCTGATTTTCTTGATGTGTCATTCTCATCTCACAATAATTATTGTATGGTAAAATATAAGAAACTGTGTGCATTAGAAGCAATTCTAAGTCCCAAACGTTGAAATGTTCTAAGGAAGGTTTCAGCTTACTTTCAGCAACATGGATCGCAAAGAGACACATCAACCTCGCAAACTTTGTCCCCCTGATTTTGCTCACTTTAACTCAAAGGAGGGCTTCACAATGGCCTTAAGTAACCACCCAAGAACTTTCCAGAAGCTTTTTGTCATGCAACCACAGGGAACCTAGACTCACAACAGCTTACTGGAAGCTGAATTTTAAGGATTTGTGTGGGAATTAATCCTAAGATTGATAAAACAGTTAAAATGTACATAAATAATAACTGTTTATTCACAAATCCAAATCGAAAAAGTGAAAAGGAGATAAAAGAGGTTATCCCTTTCTAGTTTATCTCCTGATAATAAAATCCATTAAGAAATAAATTATTTACAACTGTTTAAAATAGTAACTATATATGTATATAAAACATCACACAGTAAAAGAACTTAGTGTTCACTAGAAAAATCGATAAGATAACGTCTCAGTCTGTTCTTGAAAATATTCAAATTCTCCGCCTCAGCAACTTCCTTTGGGAGATTGTTCCACTTATCTATTATGCGTATAAAAAAAGAATGTTTAAAACTATTTAAAGTTGCTGATGTAAGCTTAAGTTTAAAACGATGGTTGGCTCTTAAGGGTGGAAAATCATGTGCAAATGTAAAAAATGCATAAATGTTTTCTTACTATTTCCTGCCCTATAAACATCATTTCAGTAAGATTTAACGTCTTGTTCTCTTACCTACTAAGAAGAAGACAAGCGAAAACTTGGCTGTCCTAGTACACTGTCCGAAGAAAAAGCTACAAAAGTTACCTTTCTTCTACTCCAATCGTTCCAAATCTTCACTTGAGCTGTTAGACCAGAGATTTTCCTTTAATTTCTTGAAAACGTCAGTTTAGTTCCAAACATCGAGCCATGGCCTCAAAATAAGTAATGTAGCTAAAAAATTGAAACTTATGTATTTTGAGCTCCTCTGTGCTATTCACATCACCACATAACATCAGGAGCCCTGAAAGTTGAGGTTATGAGTAGTCTGTAGCTATTTTGCTGCACAAAGAAGTTTGTTTTTAGCTGATAGAAGAACAATTGAGATTCTTAAATTGCTTTCAGAAGGTTGTTCTGTTATTATTAGTGGTTTAACTTATTGATGTATTGTTTGTGTATTAACAGGAAGCTTGAGCATCAAATGCAAGCTCAACAGCTCAAGATAAGTGAAGAAAAAAGGCTGGTTGCAGAAATTGACATTTTAAAGCGGTCAAAGAGGAATTTAAAGTATGTATTGAGTATGTTTTAAAAGTTTTGCTGTTCATATGTGGTTTCCAACTTTATCAGTTTTTTATGAGGGTATTAGTCATTCAGTGTAAATAAGGACTTTCGTGTCAATGAATACAGCATTGAATTAATAGTGCATCCTCAAGTTCTCAGTAAGAGTGTTATTACACTAGCTACCTTCTCCAGTGAGATGCTATAATAGTACCATCCTTATTGAGTTGCCTGTACCCATCTATGCACTGGGGTGGAATTGAGGTTTCCTGTCCAAGTCAGTCAGGTTATTAGCTTGGTCAGGATAAGAAGTTCTTATTAAAGGGTTGGTTTAATATGTTAATTGCCATGGTCACATTCTTCCATTTTGTACAAAATTAAGTTTACCATCATGATGATAGCATCCTTGAATAATGATATTATATTTAGTAGTTCTTAAAATTAAAGATAAAGGATGTTTAGTGTGACAGTGGTAGTGTACATGTAAGCCACGTACATTCCAGGTTGTTTATTTTCTTGACAGAAATGTGTCACTGAAGTGTTGAGTTGAACACCAGTTGAGAATTATACCAAATTTCCCCAAATGTTTCTTTTTTTCTCTCTGTGTGTGATCCTTGATGACCTTCTTTTACCAGTGAAACTAATTAAAGTGAGAAAAGCCAGTCATCACATTGGAAAAAATCTTTACTATAAATCAGATAGTTATGTTGTTGTTCAATTTAATCCTATTTTCCTTGGTTCAAATTTTATTTTTCTTTATTTCAAACTCATTATCATATATCACCATACCCAAAAACAAAGGAAAATAAAATTTAAACCAAGGACAAAATTGACCCACAACATATACAAGGTGTACATATCTATAGAGATATCAGTTGACCCACCAACATCAACCCCCTTCCCGCCCTCATAAAGAGACCCAAATAATTTGGCCCAGTCCCCAAACTACAGTATAACATAGGTGAAGGTTAGGAAGCAGTATCAAGTCTTGTATTCGTAACAGACTGTCAAAACTCACTTCTGTGATGAAAAAGTCCCGTCAGTTATAAATTTATTGTTGCATTAAATATGCAAAGTTTTCAATAAGAGCTGGCGGCCAGTGAAATTTGCCAGCTATTTCACATGAACTTGCTGCCTACTTTTGGAAATGACCCCTAGTGAGTTTTTACAAATAACATGAGAAACATACGCAGAGCGGGAGGTCAAGTGTTTAATTCCCGGGGCTGGACCTGTCCAATACTCAGGGTCTACAGATAACTGAGAACTGAAAGTACTAATTCTTTTACCCTGCATAGGTCTATACTTTCCCATGGTTCAGAGGACCTTGTAAAATGGTGTTCCTGTCTCCAAAAGGAGGTCTCATGCTAAATACATTGATACTCACATCAAGTGCATTGTATTTTCTATTTGTGCTCTATCCAGGAAATTTAATATTATACAAATGTTAAATAATTAAAGTAAAAGAGCCCAAGTGTGTTTACAGGTCATGAAATGATATATCATCGTATCGTATTATCCTTTTTACTCAACAGTGAATACTTGGCTCTTAAACAGCTTGTAGATCAGTTGAGAATTAGACAGAGAGCAATCAGAGGAGAGAGAGATGTAAGTAATGTCTATATAGACTAACTACATGTGTTACACTCTCTTGAAACTGTTATCTATGTCAGTAATGTTGTATTTTGAAGTTTCATTGTTTGTCTTCTAGGCATGTGTTAAAAAAATAAACCGCTTAAAATCTAGAGAGGAAGAAATCAAGAACCTTTTAGATTCTGATGCTGCTGGTGTTAGTGAAGAAATGGAAAAACAGCGTCTTAAGCAACTGAATGAAGTAGAAGCTCTCAAAAAAGGTAGTTTTTTTAGAAGTGCTGTTTCATGAGCGTCATCAGACATGTCTATAGGTTTTAAGAAAATTATAATTTTCTTCAGTGATAAAAATATTTTCAATTATAAACACTTCATAGGCCTACATGGATTAACCCAGACTTGAATTTTGAGGAAATTAATGGGCACGATCCATTCAACCAAAATTCAGACCGGTCCGACCGGGAAAAGAGGACCACCTCAAAAGGTGGACCTGTTTTTTCGAAACTTTTCTGGTTGGACCAAACCGATCCATTGAGTTTTGGACCGAAATTTCCGGAAATTTTGGTTGAATGGATCGCGCCCAATAATTCCATGGTGTTTCTTTTAAGGTGTGAATTATTTTAAGTTAATAATTGGACTCAGAAAACAAGGATTGCAGATTTCTGGCTTCTCCTTGGTAATGTTATAATTTCACAGATGAAATATTGAATAGAATCAATAAATGCCTAGAATGATTACATATCTACTGTAGTTACCCTAAATTTTGATCCCATTAAAGAATATTTATTTCTAATTCTCCTGACTTAAAATAAGATCAATTCACAGCAAAATGTTTACTATGTCCCAGCCATTGTGTTATATTTTCAACATTACATGTACTGAGTAAACCTTAATAGTTTAGATACTGATATCCTCTTGATGTGTCTGCCATGGTACAGGTACACTATGTTTCTTAGATTAATAGTATTATGAATCTTCAGGTTTGTTAATGTGATAGACTTTCCAACTGCCACAACTTTGTTGTGTGTCTCACGATTTCACAACCTATTTCATGCCCCCACGAGTTAATAACTGATTGCTCACACTTTCTGGAAACTCACACCCCAAAAATCGTTTTAATAGAGCATCGTAGTGGAGTTCATTTCCATTAGTTAATAGATAGCAAACTCAATATGAAGAAAATGCCTAGAGTTCGCATTTGATGGGTAAACGTTGGTGCTTATCTAACACTCTTCAACCTACCTCGAACCTTACCATCAGTTGCTCCTGCCACCATATTAAAGTCACTGTTACAAATAAACTTAAATCTCTCATTTAAAGGTGGCTCCAACAAACGTGTTGATGTCAGCAGAGACAAAGGAGTTTGAACATGATGTTTACTGCTCCAGCTTTAAATTAAAATGTGACTTCTAATACTCATATCTCTGCAGGAAGTCCTTCCACTAGAAATGTAGGACATCTTGCAACTTATATTCCCACTTGTCACTAATTTTCCCAGCCCACAGGGTCAGAATCTCAAGATATTTCCTCTAGGGGGTTGGAAGGTCTGATGTTTTCTCCAGGGTTCTGGGCCACTTACCGGTACAATGTATTTTCAATTAATTTTGTCCATTCAGGCTAGCAGATCTGTGATTTAATATTCCTTTTTTTTCAAATCTGTACAAGAACTTGATGAACTTCACATCAAAAAAAGAGATATTAAAAGCAATTTTACAAAGGAGCAGAGGAGGTACTATTCCAATGTGAAGGAGATAAGAGCTCAGAAACAAAAAGAAGACCATGACAAGAGGAATAAAGATAGATTTTCTTCACTTAAAGATGTACATGTGTAAGTTGAGATAATTAATTGTCAGTAGAAAAAGCCACATACATAACACATAGAAGACACATAGAAGAGTCGAGTCTTGGAAATAGTGATTTGGGTTCTTTTTAAACATTTGCTAATAATTTTCTTTTTGCGTTTACAAAAGTACTCCTAATCTTTAAGTTAAGCAAAAAAAATTTTCTTTGTGGGGCTATAGCCCACCCAGACACGGCTGTACTGTTTGGTGACCAACCCATTTGTTTTTCTTTGTTTTAATATTTGGAGAAAGATAAATGGTCCTACCAGTAAATGCTTGTCATTCCCACCACTTGGTGATGTGCCAGTTAATGGGAATGTAAAACACAATAACTGGGATTCATCAAACAAACCCAAATAGTAAATTTGCCACCTGACAGAGAGGATTTAATGAATGATGTTTTAAAGCTCAATATATTTTACTCATATCGGCTAACACTCAGAATGTCAGCATAGTTGATAAATCTGTTTGGCGTATATTTTTATCAACTGGAAATGTGTTCTTGTTAACACAAATCAAAGTATGGTTCAAGGTATACAACTGAGCTTACTTCCTGCTAGCCTGCTGCAAACTTTTTATGTTCTCCTTCTTGTGCTTACAAACAATAATTTGTTTCACCTTTTTTGCCTGTTTTGCGTTCAAGATTTTTGCACCCCCCTCCAAAAGAATAATGGTCCATTTCTTTGGAATACCAATTGCCCTCCCCAGAAGAGTGGAGGTTTATCCAGTGGGTAGAAAGTGGTTAGAGTTGTCCAAACCCTTGTCCTGCCCATCTATGTTCTTATGTTGATCACTTTTTTACAGATCAAGAAGAAGTAAACAGCAGCCATATGAAAAGGAGAAAGCACTCTGTGACACATTGATGGCCCACTTAGAAAAGCTACATAAAACTCTGTTGCCTGATGTGCAGGTCTCACCATTACCTGACAAGGATCCTGCTCCCTCATTATCGGCAAATACTGGTGAGCAACAATAGGGACCAGCTTCTTTTCCTACTTCTAATAATTTTGTTCATGGTCAGTCATGCAAGTCTTTAAAAGGATGGGTCTTACTGAAGGAAGGAGGTCTCGGAGACCAGTATAAGGGATTTAGGTGATCTGAAGTACAAGAGAATTTTATCATTAGAAGCAATGATAGTTAGAAATCATTGGATGAGGCTTAGTATCATCTGAAGAATTATGGAGATTTAGGAAGATGTTATCATGAATAACACCCTCCAAGATCTACATAATTCTGTGGATGATGGATCATGTTGTGGATACATACTCTTTGGGAGGTGGAGATGTAACAGTAACAGTACATCATGTAGTTTAAGCACAGGTAGCCCAAGCTCGAAATATTAGCATTGGCGAACATTGGCATTGTTGCATAACATTCGAAATATGAGGATTTGTATGGCAAAAAACCCTTTCATTTTCGTAGGTTACAGAAATGATAGGTCTTTTTGCTATACAAATCCTTATATTTCAAATGTTACGCGACAATGCCGAATGTTCACCAAAGCTCATATTTCGAGCTTGGGCTACCTGTGTTGAAAGTAGAGGCAGAAGTAAAAATTATCTTTTGGTAACTTGTAGGTAGATTGCAATAAATTAGAGTGCACAGTGTCAGTGATTGTTAAGTGCTGTTTTTGTGCGGTTAGCCTAACAAGTGGTCAACTACGGTTGGTTATGTTCTGAGTGTGGATTTCAAGTTTAATATTAACCTATTTCAGCTGTTGAGTTTTCAAAGTCTGATGGTGAGGGAACCTTTCTCAGGCGCAAATCAGCCACTGATGATCTTGTCGGAGTTTTTGCTGGAATTGCTAGAACCACAAGGAGAGGCAGCCGAAAGGGAAGAAGATCCTCAGGAAAGGAGGTCAGTAACTTTTCTACTGAATTAATTACTTACGATGTTTTCATTGACTTTGTTTGACTTGATGTTTTCAGTATACCAAATTGCAAAATTTTATTTTCTACTATTATTATTTGTATTAAAATGTAAACATATTCTTGATGAAGAATATGTAATTAGTTTTGCATGAACACACTATTATTCAATATCACATAAATAAATAATGAAATAATGAAATAGTAACAAACAGTAACAAAATACAAAAGGAGCGTTTATAGTGTATAATAATATATTAACCTAAGTAGTGAACACAGAAACTGAAAAATCTGGAGCATTTGAAGGATTTAAGTTTTACATTAGTGGGCTGTTGGCAAAACCTGGATTTGTTGCTGTGGATGGTTGAAGCTGAGGAAGTCAAAGAAAGAAAAGGTAGAAGAAATAATGAGGCCCATCTGTAAGAACAGGTTGAACTGACCGGACTTTCGTGAGTTAAACTTATTAATCGTCTGATAATTGAAGATGACTCTAACTTTAATTGGTTACGCGTTGTATGACTCGATCAATTATTTATCACTTTCATGGCCCGCTTTATGCTTTTTTCTCTCTTTTCTCCATGCTGATAGTAACAAAATTATAAATCGCCTGATAATCGAAGATGTCTTGAACTTTAATTGGTTACGCACTGTACAACTCGATCAATTATTTATCGCTTTCATGGCCCGCTATGCTTTTTTCTCTCTTTTCTCCATGCTGATAGTAACAAAAAGACTCTTGATTGCAAACAGGTCAAAATTTTAATGAAACTGAATTATACAAAACAAGTTTCTTTTTACTGCTTTCATTTTAAATTATTAAAGAAGATGAAAACTGAAAAGCGACTCACTTTGTTGACTTTGTGTCATGCTTTCTTGCCACTGAAAAATGGCAGGGCAAATATCGACACGGACGGGGTGTATTGCCTGATACCCGCCCTCCGATTTGATACTATGTGACCCAAAATAGCCCACAAAATCGTGCGAAAATTAATCAGTGGATTATAAAATGATATATTAACCCAAGTAGTGAACAATTTCTTTTTTTCCAGTGCATTTTATTCATAAGATAAATCTTGTGATTTTAGATTGGATAATGTCACTTGTGCTCTTGTGTGTAATGTTTCACACATATCGAAAGAATATCTTGTCCACAAGCTGGATACTACTGTTCGGCTGTCAGACTGACTTTCAATAATTTGCACCTGAACCATCTCAAAGCAATAGCATAGATTGACATAAATTTGTTTCAGAGCATTCCATTATGGTATGGACAAGCGAATCTTGCTTTGTGCATAAGATGCACTCACTGGTGGTAATTTTTTACTTCCTTTTTTTTTGTAACAGTTTTCCCCTAAAATGGCACCTTTGTGGGATAACTGTTATAATGTACTGTAGATAGCATCATCAACAGCTGTGCGTGTTTCCGGCATATTTTCTCTTTCTTGTTCTTTGCATTTTCCTGAGACACATTTCAAAGTGCCTTTTTGCGTTTCAGGTTCCACGTAAATTAAACCTTCATCCAGATGTTGTGGAAAATCTTTTGGCTCTCAGTTTATCCCCTCCCAGCACTTATGTCGACATTCCAAAAGTACTTGAAGAACTTCAAGAGAGGAGGGTAAGTTGATTAGGTGATCTGAAGTAGCCAGCAGTTGAGAAGCGACACATGGTATGTGGTAGAGTCAAAAGAAACCATTTACGTGATTCATATGTGACCATATATATGTATATTTTGTTTGTAGTCTTGATACTCTGTTATCAGTTCTTTCCATTCCCCCTAAAAATAGCCATTGTTAAGGTATGTGTTTCATTGATACCCTTAACTATGGAAAATATTACAAATCAAACAAGCATGGTTTAAAACTACAACGACATTGTAGCATAGAGCAAGCAAGCTAGTTGGTTATTTACCGATATGGCCGAAGAAATGAACTCAGCAAAGAAAGGTACTTCCACTGTAAACGTGGTACCTGTTAACTGTAATCTGAAATGGGTCTTTCCTGTAGGTCAAGTGTTTTTAAACTTTTGAGACAAAAAGATTTAATTGTACTAAACTCCAATTTGCACCACAACTTACATAATTATATTTTAGAGAGGTGCTGATTATGCTTATCTGAAAAATAACCTTTTTTCTGCATTTTTGGTCTTTTGTAGGACTTCTTTGATAGGGCCATAACTTCCAACACTGCTTTGACTCTTCCAAGTAATGATCTTATGTCCCCAATCACAGAAGAAGCAGCCCCTAAATTTCCAAGTTTGTTCAAAGGGAAGAGTGAGGATGAAAATCCTGAGGAAATTAATGAAACTGAAAATATTTCATCTGGAAAAGGTAGCACAGAAGATCAAGAAGATAATTCCATGGAAGGTCAAGCGTCATCAGTGTGTATCCAGGATGAGCAGATGGTTTTAGATAAAAGCGTTGACAAATCAAACAATAATGCTCTACTGGTAGATGATTATTCTCATAAATCAGAGAGGGAAGAAAAACAAAGTCTCTCTTATTTTTCACAGCTGCAAAATGAAGCAGCAGCTAATGAACATGGTGCTACTGACATAGGAGCAGATGTTACTGAGGGAAACTGTGAAGTAAGTGCAGCTGAATTAGAGTACAATAACACTCTGAATGCTGCTAAGAAGAAAGATTCGGACGTACATGATTTTTTGTCCTCTGTTAATGGAGATGTACACGTCTTGGATGAGCCTGCCAGTACAGACTCTGTTGACAATGATAAGGAAACTGAGAAACAGAAAGAAACCATCACTTTCTCCGATAAACTGCTACAGCCCAACTGCAAGACTGGAATCGTTGCCAAAGAGGAAAGCTTTATCCAGGATTTGCAAATTCATTCTAGTAATTGCACAAGCCCTTCTCCTCGCAGCAGTAGGTTGTTGTTGAATGAGAAAGATTTGGAAGCTGTTTATGACAGAAGCTTAGTAAAGGTACAATGTGAAAAGTGCCCGGCTTAGTGTGACAAGTGTACTGTTAATAGTGCACATGAGGGAATAATACATCAATACACGTACTTCTTCATTCATCCTTACTGTAAGCCGCTGCATAAAATATCATAATATTTCTTACTGTTCCGGATCAGCATTGTTATTCCAGCCTTCTTTATTAGCATGCTATGATGAAATTCAGAGTTCTTGTAAGCATCTTGTGCTAGAACGCAGCTTTTCCTGTTATTTGAGGAATCCTTGAAGCTTACGCTGTAATTCTAAAAAAGTTGGGAAGAAGGAATCAGACCTTAATAAGCCTAAGAAAAGCCCAAGGAAACAGCCCATATCGCGAAATGTCGGGTGTTTTCTCAGGCTAGCACAAGACCAGAACGATGATTTCACAAGTATATTGTGAACATTGCTATTTGCTATGCCAATGTGCGGAGTGTGCTTATTAACGTCCAGGGCCGGGTTGTTCGAAGCTGGGTTAAGATAACCCAGGGTTAGTGCGAACTTTGAACTCAGATATTAGAGCTTAAAATTCAAATTCAGTTTAATTCTTTTTGCCTACAAGTTGATGATTGGATACTCTAAAAAGAATACAGAAAATTATCCGAGAGAGTGCTTTTGATAACAAGAAAAAGAAATCCGGATATAAATTTAACCACGGGTTAGTGCTAACCGGCGTTCGAATAACTGGGCCCAGAAGCTGACGCAGCGCAAGTGCGTGTTGTGCTTAGAACAAAACTGGCTATCGGAATATAATCAAGAAACATGATCTAAAGAAATTGTGGTATTCTGTGAAGTGGACTAAAATGTACATAAGGTTTGTAGTATTCCGTCTCTTAAATGCATGCTACAATATTTATTGCATGATATCCATGTCAGCATTGTTCCCAATTGAGTTGGCACTGCTACTTTGGTTTTGTTTTGCTGTGATTTGCGTCACTTTCTCACCAATCACAAAACGAATTGTGATTTTCTCACACATGTTCTCCATACTTTCCGTTTTTACCAAGGATCTTACCAATATTCCGATTGGCTTTTGGATTTTCTACATCTATGTGATTGGCCAAAAAGACTGCTCGTGGTTTTGATTTCATGGCTATCATCTAAATACCATTAAAAAATTCCTTCCGCCTCAAATAGATTGAATGCAAAGTGTGTTTATTTTATGTGAAGGTAAAAAGCCTATTTGTAGTTAAAAAAAGGGTACCAAAGTCCAAAAATAACCCAAAGACAAAAAAAAGTTGTTTGTACACGTACAAGTCGGTAGTCAATGTAGATTGAGAGGAAGTATTTGTTTCGTTAAGATCCTGATTACAGAGTCAGTAGTATGTCAAATGTGAGACGCAATGTTTCATCCGATATCCAGAACTGACAGAGCGGGAATTGGATTGAAGTGTGGAGTGTTTCATATATCCGCTTCTCAAATCATCATTAATTCCTTGGAAAAGCCGTCAAAGTTTAAGTTGCTCACCAAATTGTGTGGAAATTTGGCAGCATTTATCGGATATTCTTCGTTTATTTTTATCGGTGTAAGTAGAATAAGTATAATTGAAAATAGAGTCAGCATAAAGTGGGTAGTTGGGGGGTCGGCACTTGGGGTACTTACCATTAACAACTGAAAACCGGAAATTCCAGGTGGAAAATCAAATAGTTCGCGCCATTCCGTTTTGGAAGATTCAGAAAGTATCGGCCGTAATTTATGGCAATGCAATTTTTCTACACCTTTAAGGCCCAGTTCAGACGTCGTGCTTCTGCCGTGCCGAACTAAATTCAGGAATTAAGTTCGACAAAAGCACGGCGTCTGAATCAAACTTTTGAATTAAGTTCGGCAAGCAATTAAGTTCGACAAGCGCTGCCGTGCTACACGGCTCTGGCATGGCAGCGATTCAAACGTCGTGCTTCTGCCGCGCTAAACAAAATTCATAAATTATATTAATGAATTTTGGCGAGATTGCGTTCCCACGGGGAATTGGGAGAAGAATTGTTACGAGGCATCAGTAAATCCTGAATTTGGTTCGACTCTGTCACGACGTCTGAATCAAAGTTGTTTTCCTGCCGTGCTACAGTCGAACCAAATTACAATTAAGTTCGGCACGGCAGAAGCACGACGTCTGAAATGGGCCTAAGTCTGTTCAGCTGATTTGGATATACTTTGTAGCGGGTTCTACGCTCACAAAAAATGTTTAGTAAAAAAAATTATGTTTATCCACAAGATTTCCACCTGGGTAGTTAATGGTAAGCACCCTTGGATTTTAAAAAAAAAAACAAAAACTGTGTAGTAATCTAAAAAAAAAAAGTGTGGTAAAACCATTGAGAACGTTTCATTGAAGTTGGGTAATTCACTCCTTTGTAATCTGGGTGTAATGTAAGAAGTCTTAACCGAAAAATCTATTAGTTTGCATCAAGAGCCATTGTCGCTCTTGTTTGCATTTACACTTCATCGCGGTCAAACCAGGGAAATTTGCAAAAGCTATACAAAGCACTTCCAACCTAAAGTTGTTGTGTTCAGTGTTGAAATGGTAAATGTTACCAGTACACTGTTATAATATATGTTTACTACACTTCTTGAAAGTTTACTAAAATAGTGTGGAAAACTGAAACTGATGTTATGGTGGACGCCATTTTGCCACCATGAGATTACTAATGCTCGAAGCGTGTTCAACTAAACAATGCTGGCTCAATATTTTAACTGATTATTTTATACATCCTTGCCCATATTCTATGTACTGGAAATTGAAATCCCAGCAAATAAAACAAGAAAACGCCTCAGACTACTGACCCCGGTGGATAGTCACAATGTTAGCACGTCATATACCAAGATACCCAGGGGCTCGTTATATCGGGACTTTTCCACTACATTTTACATTAACTGAAACGGGAGTATCATTCATTATAGGGGGGTTACTTAGACCGAGGTTCCACTTTATTAACTGTAACAGGTGTGTGGTTAACTGTCTGTAAAGAGGATACTCTCGAAACTATGTGAACACTTGTCTTGGGAAAACACTTGAAACCACTGATCTCGTAGCCCGAATTTCATCCGATTACTTCGAGTCGTTATTACTCCCTGTTGAGAGGAGAAAACGACTCGAAGCAATCGGATGAATTTCAGGCTACTGATCTCGGAAAAACAAGAAAAACAGGAAACGACAAAATCCTTACTTTTTCAGGGTTACCATCTTTATTATTGTCATTTGACTACGTTGGAACCAATAAAAATTCACGGGCATCACTTAATCACTTCCCACCATTCCACCCGTTCATCTGCAGTGTAGTTCTCACTCCTTACAAGGGATTACAAGCCAAAGGAGAGTATCATGAAAGTTTTTCTGGCAGAGTTTTGAATACTGAATCCTACTGACGTTTTCGTGCACCTGCCTACGTTTTACGACACATCCAGTTGTTAAATTTATCAAAGTTGTGTTTAAAGAATATTTGGCCTAATTAGGGGGCCGATTGCTCTCTTGCTTTCAGAAATCCGGACAAGAAGCAATGTTTTTTCTTGGCGTCAACTATCAATATTGAGACTGACAGGGCCCTTATCCCAATTTAGTCAGTCAATTTAATTGTCATTGGACTTCAGACGGACTCTTCTTTTAAAGTCAACAGCTCGTTCTTGTCACACAGGTGTCTCTTCACAAGAGTTGACAAATTTTTGTCTCTCTTGACGGATTGACTCACCCTTAATATGAGCACTGTTCTTTGAATTATTGAGAAGGGAGCGGAAAGTTTAGCTGAGTCCTTATTTTAATTGATTGTGGAAATGTGTAGAAAGAGAAAAATTTGCCTGTCTCCCGTATGCTTTATTTTTTCAAACAACAGGTGAAGGAGTTTTTTTAGGTACACTGCGATTAATTCTGGATTATAGTGACAAACGTAATTAAAAGAATTTTATGCTTCCAAGATGGCGACCTTCATTTTGTATGACGTCTCAGTTGTCCAGGCAGTGTCATGTCCCGAACCACTTTATGCATCATGTAATGCACATCAAACATGATCACAGGCTAAACAGTGCAGCATAGATAATGCACTGATAAGGGAAGGGGTAGGACACACCCCTACCACCCCCCCAACTCCCTTGCTTGTAGGTTTGAGGATAAAATGTCATGCACAACACAAACAGAAAACAAAAGATAGTTCTGCTAACAAAAATCATCATTTTATAATTTTATCTCCAGCAGACAGTGTTAAAACAATTGGAAACATTTCTAAACATTGGCTTCCTATCTAACCCCTAATTACATATTCCTATAAAAGCATGGTTTAATATGATCAGTTGATTTCAACTTGACAAGATACTTCAAGCCCTTCTGCCCAGAAAGAGCAGCTACTCTGTAGATACTCGGTATTGTCACTTTAAACAATTTTCTACCGGAGAAGTGTTGTGTGATACCGACAAACTAAAGCACACTGCTCATTAAAGGAACGTAACATGCGAAACACACTATCACTGCTATTTACGTAGCGCTAGTAGCCGGATCTAGGTTAATATTTGCGACCAGTGTTGAGCTTAGTAGCCGTAAAGCCCCGGAGATATTCCGTCTTTTTTTCACATTTTCATGATCATACAATGAAATGAAAATGTCTGGTTTTAACTTAAAGAACTACTAACTTCTGTAGTTAAAACCGTCCAGTTACTGGCAAAGATGTTTAATTTGAATGGTCGCGGCAAATGTTGAGAGCAAACGATTTCGTCCTTGAATCAAAACGTCATTACAAGTAACTGAGCCGTACTTTCTAGTGGTGCTGTTTACTATGTGAATGCAACTAAGTAGAACTTTGTCACTTTGAAATATCGTTCACATGTTGAGTCAAGAAAAGGGCGTTACCCAGATCCGGCTAGCCAGGCCTTAGGCACAGTATACCATTTACTCCATAGTATTTAGATTGTCTATTTAAACTAGAGTCAATTTGATGATCAATTTGATTCCTTCGCCACCTTGTTAAAAATACTGTACATGATAAAAAGATTCTCATAAAAGAGATAATGAAAACGTCTCCGTTTTACCCTTTTCACCGCCGTGATCTTGATTTCAAAATATATATTTATCATCCATATATAAAAGTCTAATAAAATGTTCATAAAAATGCTCAACAGTTCCTCGCTTGACACGGACGATCGGTGGGCATGGAAGAGACCTTGCAGTTTTATCTGTTGAAGGTGGCTCCCCCAGGTTTTCGCTTCAGCGTTTGTGATTGCAAGCTTTCAGTCATCAAATCTTAAGAAAGAAAAAATAGAACGCCATGGGTTTATCCACGCTATCACTGCTCATTTATTCTTAACATCAAAATTCAAGTCCATGGTAAAAAAAAAAAAGAAAAAAACTAAAGGTAATGAGTACAGGTACTGCCGCCGCCAGCCGACTACGACTTTTAATTTGAATGGTCACACCATCGAATATATATCAGAGGCCCCAGTTTGTTCAAAAGGTGGATAGCTCTATCCACTGGATAAATCACTATCCCGTTGAAAACGCAATTAGTTTTCGTAATACTTATCCAATGGATAGCGATTTATCCGGTGGATAGCGCTATCCAACTTTTCAACAACCGGGTCCAGAATTACATGACAGGCATCAACAAAAACACGTCGAACTGCGAAAGTTGTGTGCTTGAAGTGTTGCTTGTGGTGTCGAGCGAACCATAACCAGTTGCAAAAATGCTCGCGACACTGTAATACTTTGACTTAACTGACCCAGTACCCATGATTTTGTGTTTGTGATCCCCCTCCTCCCTTTATTAAAGTTGCTAGAATGGAAGACCATGCTCAAAACTTAAAAGAACAACTTTGAATGGAGGGGAGGGGGGAGGTGAGTTTTATTCCTTACAGATGTTTGACGAGCAGCGATTCGAAGTAGGAGGATTTTTGCACCGGGTTGTAGCTCCAACATAATTCCATCAGTGCTCTTTATCATTACCCTTAACAAGTGGACCACGTCTGAAACCATCTAAAGTGCCCATAACCTAGCCTGAATTTCAGACGATTACTTCGAGTCGTTTATACTCCCTCAGTAACGTCTGAAATGCCGTCCAGTGACGTCATTACTCTTTGCTTTAATTCATGCAAAAAGTAAAACATGATTGTCAAGATTCGTCTTAGTCTTCTCTCAGAAACAAAGGCACTGTGACGTAAATTAAGGAACTATGACGTAAATTATGGAACACGTGACTTTAGATACATGCAAACAAATGTGGAGTTCTAGAAATATTTCATAAAATTCAGAAACTGAAAAAGCTATTTAAAGGTAAAACATGTCAGTAAGATGTGTTGCAGTGAGATGCAATAACACTGGCGACCCTAAGAAAGGGGTAAGAATGCATAAAATCCCGTTTTTCGGTTACTGAATTTATGCCTCATGAAGTCACATATGAGCCTGTCAATTTCGTGATCAGCGGAACGGGTGGGAATTAAGACTTAAAACCGTGGAAGTTCCTGTAGAAATGTAGCCTGTACACAGACGTTGTTTTATTTTTCTTTTCGTTCTTTTCGAAAACATCGGCGAGCGCGAAGCGCTGCCGGTCAATAAATTCCCCGCGGATTTGTTTTTTATCACGTGCGCTCGACGAACTTGGAAGAGAAAATAGAGGGTCTGTGAATAGGCTAGTAGAAATGTGTTCTTTCAGTAAACATAATAAAACGTTTTAGGCTATTGGCACTTTATAGGTTATATTACATTAATTGAGAATAACTTTTTTCAACCGCCAGTAAGGAAAGACGTTGCCTGTACCACTTCAACACACGTGATCAAAGCGGCGACAGTTAAACCAACTTGCGTCTTTCACTACATGTTAAAATACGACCTGTAACCGGAAGGGCATGGGTTCGAATCTCATTCAGTACTGGTGAAGTGTTAAGTGTCAGTCAATGAGATTTACGTCTTTTCATTACGTCATGTTAGAAACGGAAACGTTCACACCAGTTCGGAGTTTAAATTGGTAACGTTTACCGCTTCTTCCTTCGCCTGCAAGTGACTGAAGTTTCCATCGTAACTGTCTCCAGAGTAGCGGATAAGCCATCGTAAACGGACAATAGTGATCCCTGCTGTAAACAGCCGTAAAGGCATAACTTTGTATAAGATCCACAGGTTGTGAAGGTTATACACATATTAACTTACCATTTGACCTTTTCCACGTAATTACCAGGAAATGTGCCAAATAAATTGGTGCGAGCAGACGTTCCTACAAACCAGCCATCATCACATTTCTCCAATACAATCACCTCATCACCTTCCTCCAGACGTAACTCGTCTTCATTAACAGGTTCATAACTGAACATAGCGCGATATCTGAAAAGAAAAACAATCATTTTTAAAAAAAACATACCATTCAAACTACTTAAATTAATTTTTTTTCAGGAGAAAGAAGAAAAATAACTTGGACTATTGAGACAACGCGCGATCGATTGTTGGCCAATCGATGGCCGAAAATCAAAAAGGTATTTTCAACAGCTTTACCTGCCTTATTCCAATTAATCTATACTATGTATGCTCAGTAATACGTCACTGTACCTTTCCCCTTGTTCGTGTCCTATTCTCGGCGGCTCATCAATAACTGCATGAGCCACCACTCCTCTGCTACCAAAACGAGGCTCTTCTCTCTCCTCAATATACTTGACTTGTGTTTGCTTGGAAGCCTGGCCTGAGTACATATTCCCAGATGGACTGGTAACAACAAAGAATTGGAACGTAATCAGCATCATTCATTGTGTAGAAGGGGCCAAAACATGCATACTGCATGAAGCCTGCATTGTCAGACAAACTGCATTGAGGCATTTACATGTTATATTTTTTTCCTTCTAAAAAACATATTTCATGGTGGGGAAGGGAGATACATAGACACACTAGCAGTTTGTGCGTGAAGTGGTGGGTCTCGCCTACGTTGAATAGTTTTGACCATTTCGCAAAAACGTTTATCTTGCTTTTTCAACGGAACTCTCTCAATGTGCCACTATCCAACAATGCTTATGGTGAAGTTACTTCCGAATAATAGTGCGCATTTTAAGTATTTTTAAAAGCCGTTTTTAATGTTGTTACACCGCACCCAACTTACCCTCTCGACTGCTGATGTTGACGTTGATCGTAGCCAAGTTCTGTTCTTCCATAATCGGGAGCCTGACACAGAAAACAAAGTAAACATGACATGTTATTAAAGCATCAAAACATCTAACAGTGACTCCCGTGATTAAAACTTCTTGGTACATTCGCCACGTAAGGAACCTAATGGCGAAACAGTGGCTCTTCGTAATCTGGGATCGTTGAAGAATACAACACTAGACTAGTTAAGATCAGTTATTATGGTCAGAGGTTTCAATAGGCAAATAATAATTAATCATTCACCCCCCAAAAATGCCCCAATAATTGAAAGAAGACCCCTTTTATGGTAAGCCTCATTACGAGTGGTAAGAGGTATTAGAATAGGCTTTCCACCTGAGCGATTGGTTATGGTGGTAAATTCATTTAGTAAAATCCAACTAGTGGTCAACTATCAAGCTGCGTTCTGATTGGTTGAGCTACTACTAGGCTATATGTTATAGCCCACTAGTAGCGAAAAGCGCGGGCTTTTTTATTCTCGATATTCTTGACCAACTAGTTGGATTTTACTAAAACAATTATTCCTCTCACCCTCATGGCCTCTGAGTCAATAGCCCATTCGGCCTTCGGCCTCACGGGCTATTGATTCAGATCCCATTCGGGCTCGAGGAATAATTGTTAAATAATATGTTTCAGTAAAATTCTGTGGAGTATTGCCTCACTTGGGGAAAGTTAGAATTTTGGTGCCGACTTCTAAAGAGGGAGCGCCTTTTCAAGTGGCAGAGAGTCGTGCATGTTAGGAACATACATCTCATTTGGCACACTTACAATTTTTGTGGTGAGTTGGAGACAAGAGGGCCTTTTTAAGTAGTACGACTCGTACAATTCTTGTAACGTTTATGAGATGCTTTTCAATAGCGATGCTTAGAATTTGAGTGGTGTGTTGTATTGTTACCTTTGGTAATGATGCAAAGCCACCGCCAAAGTGAATTTTGCGCGAATTTGATGCATCACGAATCCGATCCCGGCTAGGCGGGTTACCCCACCTTGGCAAAATATGACCCCGGCTGAGGGGTGGGGTGTCCTCCACCTCCACGTAAACAGGCCCTAAATGAGATGCAGTTTAACAAGATGTACGACTCTGTACCTCTCTACAACTCAGTCACATTATTTTTCCAAGTAATGAACTTCGCATGAATTTAACAGATACACCACTTGATCCAACTGCACAAATCGTAAACATTGGTTTTAAAACTCGTACCACTCGTAAGAGTTTCATCGTTTAAATCTCACTTTTATTGTAGACGAGGAGTTGTAATACACTAAAGAGAATATAGCCTTTACCTGCTCCACTCGGGCGGACGGGACTGACTGTATTTGTTCCTGACGAATAACTAAAGAATACAGAGGAGGAGATATATAACTCGGTGATGAGACAATTTTATGAGAGAAAAATGTATGGTAAGAGACACCACGCAACCAAATTCTTTATTAAACCCTTGATAAGTATTTTCCGTCAGCGAACATCCTCAGTCTGACCACTAGCTTTGGTTTGGTTCTTTCGAATTCTTGGTCGCTCACCGTTTAACTCCCTGGCTATGACGTTACAAGCTAACACTAAATGCATTTCCTCGCTAAACAAAGCATTCACCATTTTATTTTTGTCTCACTCTGCCACTACAGTATTGAGATGTGTGTGATAGTTTTATTCCCGAACTAGACGTTCTAAACAGTTAGGCAGTCTGCTATATGACCTTCCATATACCTACCTTGAACTTCAGGCTCCCTATAAACCTATAATGAAAATGTTACATGTCAGCGATAAATGTTCTAGTTTTATTGCACCGCCCTGGCGCGATATACGTAATGTATCTCTACCATTTTACGATTTGTGCTTTCAGCGCGAAAGTATAACCTGTTTGTAACCTGCGGCTTTGGCGGACCACGAGCAATGTTTCACCCAACTCCCGCTACTGCGAACACCATCGGCATTGGAGTTAAAGTTCGTAGAAAACTCGTGTACAAGAGGCGTGGTATTCACTAACATTTAAATTGGCATTAACACTACTTTTAGAGCAGGAAATATATTTTCTTAGTGGCCTCAAAAGGGAGAAAACACAATAAATATGTTGAGAGATACCACTCGATGTCTGTCAACAATAAAACCGCGATGTTAGAACCCAAAAATGTGTCAGTAAGTCTATCATCGTCAGAGTTTTTGCGGAGGATTTAGCAGAGTTTTGGAGAGTTTAAGCTTCACGTATACGGCAAACGGCAAACGTCAGATTCAAGTTGAGAATTTATCAAAATAGAAAATGAGCAGATAAAAACAGTTCAGAAAATTCTTATGGATAAAAAATTGCGTGAAACCACTAATTTGTGTGTAGAAATAATGAACAGTAGGCGACAAGTAATAGGGAAACTTGGTCACGTGGTACAAATTCGCGTTTGTTGTATGACGTAAACGTTATGCTTAACCTCTCTATTAGAAGGCTTTCTGAATAGCTAGAGGGGTTGATTATATAAGATAACTCGGGCTCGATCGCTTGGACAAGATCATCGAGAAAGCCCGGCCAGCTGGGATACCGGTTTTGAGATGGCGTAATACCGGGATAAAAGTCACCTCGGCAAGGCAAGCCAGCCTGGTTCAAGACTACAGTTCTATTCGCATTTTCACGTGACCAGCAATCTTTCCTTTCCGAAAGCCGGTACAAGTGGCGTATGGAGTGGTGGCTTACACGCATCTCCTTCGCTCGCTCATGGAAAGGACCTTGCTAGTAAGATTACAAAACTGTTGATACCTCTTACCTCTAAGTAACTTGATGGTACAATTCCTTTCCTATCTCCCACTCGTCCCTCGTACCAATTACTGTCAACTTTTCGAACTAAGGATATTATATCTCCCTAAAAAAGGAACAAAACAAATTTGTCGTGGAGGAAGCGTGGCCGAGCGGTTAGACGCCCCAGAGGCCCCGAGTTCAGGAACCACCCTGAACGTAAAGCTGGATTTATTCTCTGTAGTCTTGAGTTCGAATACTCGGCCACGCTCGTTCCTCCAAGTTGGGATTCTTAACCATGTTATGTTCCATTTGAAACAATTTTTTATTGTCTATGAAAAGCCCCATCAGGGCAGAGGATAATTAAGTGTTTAATTAAGTTTATTGCCAAGTTCTCATCTTTATTACCACTTTCACCCCTGGGGAATGATAGCCTGCGTAGCAAGCGTTTCCGCGCGAGTTCGTCGAGAAAGTTGGGAAGAGAGCAAAAAAAAGAGGAATGACCTTTTTTTTTTTTAATCGCTTCCGCTCTAACTTTCGCGCAATAACTCGATTAGAAACGCTTGCTACGCAGGCTAGGGGAATGAAGGTTAAGTGGTTAAAGAATACACACGATAGTCTTAACGAAATTTAATGGATTTGCGGGTGAGAAAGTGGCGAGCTATCATACCTTACTACAGGGAAGCTCTCTATGCGTTTCCGCTTTGAAGCTGTATTTAACTTTAGCTTCACCCTCCACATTAACAGTCTGAGTAGCAGGGCGTGCTGAGACCTGCTGAGCCTGGGGTGGCTGCGGAGTATAAGAGGATGCCGCCGGCTGACGCTGTTGAGGAGGAACCTCATGTTGGACAACTTGCACACGAGGAACTATCTTCTGTGAGGGTGCAACATGAGTTGGTTCATCATCTTCTTCTACTGGACGAACCTTCGTAAACAGAAGATTAACGTTCATTATTATTCATTCAAAATATTTCTCCATTTGTGATTGGCTCGAATCCCCCCGATAATTCTTCATGACCAGCTAACTTTGACCAAATTTGGGAGACCCTTGCGATATCCGGTAAAATGACGTCAGCAGTGCAGGCTATCGCCAGAAAAAAGTTCCGCAACCGAGAAGCTCTGGGAAAGAGGGTTGCGTTAGCTCAGTTGTTTTGGTAGATAATAGCGAAAAACTTCACACGTTTTGCGAAGAAGAAATAGCCGAACTTCTGCCTAAAACCATAGTAAGAATAGCAAAACTGCAACTCAACGGTTGAAAACTGCTCTGGAAAAATAACTGCCAGACCACACATCTCTTTACATGTCATGTCCTGAATTAACCGAGTGACAGACAAATAACATCAATTGAGGTAAGTATGTTGTGAAGCATGAACTATTTTGAATGAATAATAAAACACATTACTGGATCCAGCTTTCGTACGCGTGTGTTCTGAAGAATTGCCCTCGACGGATAATATCGTCCGAGATCTGCATAATTCCTCATATTATACGAAAGCCGAATCCAATAATTGCTAATCAACAGCTTTTAACGATAGCCCTGTGGGTGATTTGGCAATATCAGGTGGAGTTTCGTAGGCAATAGACCACACTTTCTATGGGTTTACTGTCGTGATAACCCACGCGGGGTGTTGGGAGAACACGAGAAAAGCCTGTAAATCACTTTGGGCTCGTGATTTACAAGCATTTCGGGTGTTCTCTCAACATCCCAAGTCGGTTATCACGACGGTAAACCCAAAGAGAGTGTGGTCTATTGCTTTTATAAAATAACTTTATGTTTTCTATGATTTTACCAGCACAATAAACAATAGGTTTTTAACCAATAAGAACACGCGTACTATCTTAGTTATTTTACAATAGGAAAGATGCGTCGCTTAATTTTTGTATGATATGGAGCATTACTGCCCCGCAGTACTGTTTATTTTATCAGTAGTGGATGAAAATTTACGACATAGCTTTTTAGTATTTCTCAGTATGTATATAATAAAAGGTTATTCTACTTTCTGACTGCGCGGATGAAATCTCCACGTTTTACAACGTATATGAAAGCTACAAAGCAGTATTTTACTGTCAAAAGCGGTACTTTTTTGCGGTAAAAAGTGGTTCTAACTTTGTCAGTGGAAAAGCAATCCCTATAGTGTGACCATTCAAGACTCTCTTAAGCCACTAAACTTTGGAGTGTGCGGAAGTAATACCAAAGTATGATGTTCCATTAAAAAGTTACTTCGTTTCGGAGCACTGCTAATTACACTCAGCAAGGTCTCTACATTTCAGATGTAAACCAAACGTCTGACCACATAAATCTTTTCAATCAACCAAGCAGTCAAATACCTCAACATAATTTGTCGGGAAAATGCCACGTCTTCCGTTGAGTTCCCCATCTATCCAGTTCTTATCTACTTGCCGTCTAACGCTGATAATATCACCTTTTCTAAAGGACAGCTCCCTGAGGAAGAAAGGAAATCATTGGTCACGGAAATAAAACGAATTTTCCCATTTAAGGTTATACTCGTAAAGCTCTTGTTAAATGTCTTTCTCAAACTCATTCACAATTCGCACGTGAAGATCACTGAAGTGAAAAAGGTTTGGAAAAATGTTTGCTGCATTCAACTTCGCATTTTGTCAATAATTGTAATCGTAAAAGCTTTTTCAAACACTCCACAAACTGTTTTTTTTTTTCCAAAGTAGATTGATGTCTTACTTTGCAGTTTGACCATTAAAGGTGTACAAAGCTCTGGCAATAAACTGTGGTTTGCTGGCCTCTCTCCTGACCCTCTCCTCTTCCTCTCTCCGTCTCCTGGCCAGTTCTGCTTCGTATTCTCGCCTCAATCGCTCCTCCTCTTCTTCTCTTTTTCTTCTCATCATTTCCTCCTCGGCTTCCCTCCTCCTCCTCTCTTCTTCTTCCCTCCGTCTCTGCTCCTCTTCTTCCTCTTCTCTTCTCCGGCGGGCAGCTTCTTCTTCTCGCCTTCTAAACACATCTTCATCAGAGGGTGGCTGTTGTCTTACTTGTAGCTCTTCTGATGCTTTTCTCGCGGCACCCTGCTATGACAGATCAAATCAATCCCAGTCAAATCACATTATCAGAGCTACAAGTTTTGTGTACGGGTAGCTAACACAAAACAAAAATAACAATGCAAGAGGAGAGAAAACTCCGTCGATCATAAAAAATTGGGTTAAAGTTTGCACTTAAATCACTTTTTAACAAAGCATAATGTGATGGCCGGCTGGGTTCTTGCTACATTGTAATTTATTTTCCATGAAAGATTATTTCATGCATTTTGCAAACAAATAGTTTCATTAGCTGAAGGCATCACGGCATTGTTATTGGCTCTATTGACGTTGCCATAAATCTTTCAAACTCCTCAACAGCCTCCTCAAACTTCTGTGATTTTAGCATAAGAAGAATCCAGGGTAGAACTGAAAAAGATTGTTTCCTCAATAAGGCTGGATATTGGCCTAATCGTTTTTTGTGCATTCTTTTTGTTTATCCATCACCTCACATATAAACACTGGCTAAGAATATAAAACAAACCTGTCGTCCTCTAAAGCGACTCTCATACAAGCTTGAGGCACTAGGAGGCTGATACTTTTCTTCCATTTGAACTGTCATTCCGACAGGTGCCCTCCTGTTATCAATGTAAGTGGAACTTGGTGAGGACGTCATGGCCATTGGTGCTATGGAGACTTGTGGCTCCTGAAATCTTCTCTCTTCTCCCACGTTTGCTACAGAAAAATTTAAAATGGGTGTATTGAGTGACTTGGCAACACATCTAACTTAAATAATGAATATATGAAAATCGTACATAAAATAGAAACTGCAACGTGGATAATTAAAAGAAAAAAGATCATCGCAGTTATAGACGCAACTTTTCCAGTTTCGAAAAGAAAGCCTGAAAAAAAAATCAGGCTAATTGTACTGGAATCTAATCCTTGAACTCTGCGATACTGGTGTAGCACTCTACCAATTGAGCTAACAAGCCAGCTGGGAGCAGGTAATTCGTTATAAACTCATGCAAGGGTGACAATAAAATATTGAATATATGAAAATCACATACAGGAACTGCGGGGTTAAGAATTAAGTGAAAATAATATCATAGCAATTACAGATGCAACTTTTACAGTTGTAAAAAGGAACCCTAAAATACAGGCTTGTACGAAACCTTGACTTAAATAATTCTGGGGAACTCATCTAAGCAGGACATGAAACAATACTTCATAACTTTTGGTTCGTGATGTAATTATTATGTATTCATTTTCTCTTTATCTTATTTTTCTTCTCAAGTCAGAACTGTATTGAATTTGTAAAGCACTATGAACTGTAAATAAACTCTAAAAGAATGCAAATATAATTTTTTTAAGAAGGAAAGTAGATATATTTTATAACTAACTGAAAATTAAACTTAAAGAAAGAGAAAGTTTACCATATGATGGTCTCTTTTGAACCATGTAAGACTCAGGTTCCTCAATCTTCTGCACAGGGACCTCAACTCCTCTCTGCATATCTTTATACCATGCTGGCACATGACTAGCACTCACACGTGATGGTCTCTTCTCACTTGTCGGCTGCTTCTGCCATGAGGGTAACTTTCTATCATCATCAGAGCTAGACCAGGATGCTCTTGGCTCCGATGATAGTGAACCCGTATTCTTGACAGGTACATCATTAACATAGTCTGCCCTGTTGCTAAACACCTCATTGTCACCACGATGATCAGGGGAAGGTGATGCACTTCTTGGAGATATAGAACCAGTGCTCTCATGGTTTCTAACCGTTCCCTTGGCAACATCACTGGCAAGTAATCCAGACAGGTTTGATGAAGCTAAGAAGGAAAAGTAATTGTAGGAAAATTAAAGAGGCCACTTTGTAATGCCCTGGGTTCAAACCCCAGCTTGACCAACACTCCATGTCTTTAAATATTTATATATGAGGAGAAAGTACTGCCTTTGTAATATCAAGTCATCTGCAAATGGTTAGGCTTTCTAGTCTTCTAGGAAAATAAAGAGCAAAAAACCAGAGGACCTGTCTCGCAGCCCTAGTTCATATAAAATCCTGTGTGATGTTGAAGTGCTTACACACTATTTCTAAAGAGTAGGAGATGTGTATGGTGGTCTATCTCAACTTCACTTTGACATCTGGAGACATTATTTTATAAATCAGTACATAATTAATAGTGCAAACTGCACCATAACTAGTCTGGCTCAAGTCCCCTCAATCAGTGCAGTAAATTATCAGTGAAAAGCCCTGAGGGAATTGTGGATAATATTAAATTTACAATTCACAACAGCTGAGAGAAAGGTTCTTCTCAACGTTGTTAGTATAATACATTTTCAACCTGTTTCTACATACTTCCTGCACTTGAATGTAATTCCTTGAACATTTCTTTGTACCATTTTCCTCCTCTCTGAATAGACTGAAATTAAAAAATAAAACATGTCATGCTTTTTAATGCTAAGATATTAGAAACACCTTCATTTCATTTGCCGTTTGTGACTTATATTGTCATTAAAAAGAACTGAAAAAAACAAGTTGAAGTTACAACATAACTTTTTAACAGAAAGCATATCCTCTGCATTACTAAGAAGACAGTACAATATATTTTCCCAGCAATCTGTTTCTTTCAAAAATCTGATTCTGTCCTTTTTAGGACAACAGTTGACTCTTAAGTTAAACACCAAGAAGTGTACACAGAATCTTTAGTGAGACTGGCTTGCATAATAGGCATTATATTCAGCCACACACAATGCTTCTTCCTTCTTCTCTGCATTAACTACAGTGTAATGTGTTTTCTGCAGGTTTTAGTTAGAACCATTTTTATTTTTGTGATTCCAGCAGCAATTTTGTAAACCTCAGTGATCAATTTTTGTGATATAAACATGCTTGTGTTGAGCTAACAAATATTTCAACTTCTTGTTATTTCCACTGTCAAGTGTAATGATTCTATCAGTTTTTCTTCCTTTACCTTTATCCTTCATTAAGGATCAAAATTAAGCTTCTTTGGAATTAAAGCAAACTGAAAGAAGTGTTCAAGTTTGTATTTCAAACTTGCATTGAACCACAATTTAAAATCATGGAGCAACTATGATAAGCCCATAAATTAGAAGTAAAACAATTCTCTATCCTGTACACTTAATCCGTTGGTGATTTTTATTTCTTTTTTTATCCACTGTCAACCTGAGCACTGTGAATATAACATCACTAAAACGCATTAACTCACAGGACGATGAGGGCCAGGAGGATTTGGTTCTGAAGTCATGGGCTCCTCGCTGTATTTTCTGGGTTTGTTTTGAGCAGGAGGTAGCACTGTTCTGATTGGTTTTGGTTCCTTTGAAGCTAAAAAAAAACATGATAGTTTCTCTCTTTATTTTTAATAATATAATACTTTTTGATTCATTATAAACTTACCATTATTTTGCCAGTTTATTAAATAATAAAATGTTACAAAATTGACACCTTGTGACCTGTTTTGTACGACTACACGACTTCTATTCAGATATAACATACAAAAAGTTGATGCCCTGTTCACAGTTAGTCACAGGACAGCACTGGAAGGCCAGCAGGGTTTTCAATAAGATTTTAAGTAGGTCGCAAAAACTTTGCAGTAGGTGGGGAAGGAAAAAACTCATGGGAAAGACACCACTTGAGAGGGCCAAAGGCGCGAGTTTCTGGAAAAATTTTGAAATCTAGCTGGGCCTCTTAGCATGGACAATTTCCAGCATTCTGGAGCAAAAATTAGAGTGTTTGAACAAACACAGACACATTAAATTTTGGCTTTTTTATTCAGTAATAGCATATGAATACTCTATTTAAACTGGGGTAGAAAAGTAGGCAGCGAGTTCACATGAAATAACCAGCCAATTTCACCAGCTACTGGCTCTTATTGAAAACTTTGGGCCTGCAGTGAAGAGGTATTATTGAAGCTTGGTAGATGTGACATCCAGAACATGTATTTGTGTTTCATTCTTTCCAAATCTGGTTTGACTATTAGATCTTATGGTCAGTTGCAAAGATGCTTGGCTGCAGTGACTTTCAGTAAATTCCATTAATTAGTTACCTTCAATTGCAGCCTGTTCCTTTTGTTTTTTGAACTGCTGCAAAGCAGGTCTGTTAGTTGTGGATGGTGCAGAGTCTGAGCTACTTGCATCACCATTTGCCATGTTAAAGTCTTCCTCAGAACCAATGGAACCAGATGTCAACCTTGAATAAGTAAGAGAATGGAATGTTTTTGCAAGAGAGATGTCTGTGTTTTAGCCTCGAGTATTTACCCATATAATTATACTTACTAATGACAAAAAATTTTAATCATTGTTTATAAAAATATTAATCTGGTAGTCATGAAGTTCCAGACGTTTATTATTATTATTTTCTTAGTTTCTCCTGGTTATAATCACAGTAGAGACATCTTGAGTTCTGCAGTCCATTGGCACCACCAAAACTCAAATGCTCCTCGTTAAGCAAATCTATTCCCAAGAAATGAGTGTTTATTTGTGGCTTCCCTGCAATGTAAATGTGATCTTTGTGACCTTTTGTCTTTTGTCAGTCATTAGTCAATAATGGCAGAAAGAGTATAATTATTACTTAGTCAATCAATCAAGACTCCTGACCATATTTCGGACAGATTGATTTACGTCATCATTATGGAATTTCTGAGACCAAAACTTGTCTCTCTTGAAAATTTTGCCAATTGTGGGAAGCAAAGAGTGGTGGCTTCATTTGCAAGCTACATCTTTTTAATAAGCGCCTTGGGCGCTTATTAAATTTTTGGACCTTGAGGGTAGGCACTTATTCGAGGTGGGCACTTATTAAAATTTCAGCAAGTGTAGTATGTTTATTTTGCTACAAAACAATAAATGGTAATAACAAACTGCGAAGATGTAACAAAGCGAGGTTTCTGTCAAATACTCAGGAGAAAACTCTGTCTTCGGGGAAGTCTCTTATTAGTACTTATTCAATTTTTGGGGGGGTGAGAGTGGGAAGGGGGATGGGATGAGGGTGGGAGCTTATTTGAGTTTGAGTGGGAGGAGGAGGGGGTGGGCGCTTATCCGAGGTTGGGCACTTATTTGAATAAATATGGCACTCTCTTTTCAGTAAGCATCTTGAGAAAATAATAGTTTTTAATATTGGCCTCAGTCTTTTAGAGACTAACTAAAAAGTGACACTGGATTAAGCAAAAACCACCATACAATCAATAGCCACCCAAGATTGTCAGCCATAGAGTGAGAGACATTTCCCTTTCAGCTAGGGGTGTCCTCCTTGAAATAAAATGTCACTACATAACAAGTCCACTTGTATGTGACCCATATATCCCATAAAAGAATGCAAAATTCAATTTAAAAAACATTTTTAAAGTAGGCTACATACTCTTGAAAATAGTTTTACAGTATAAGGAGATTTCTGTCACACATTTAATGAAAGGGCATCTGAGAAAGCACACAGTTACAGTGTATATTCAAATTTTATAGTAACCATTACAGAAAAACATAAAAAAAATTATTCTATTCAATATTTATACCTTTTCAGAGTGAGTTAACTGTTTGCCTGCAACTATATTCAAATAGTTATTTATTAATAGGTCTTTTGCATAAGTCAATCACATGATCAACTTTTGGTAAACACGAAAACAGTTCACTTTTGAAAAATTTTGTTAGCACAAGCTGAAAAAGCATATTAAAATTAGGTAACTAACAAATTTTCAGCTGTATATCTCAAAAGTAGCGATCGCGATGGCTGCGGAAAAATTTAAGGGATTTGCATGAGAAAAACAACTTTTGCCATCCAGTCATGCTTGAGTGGTTTGCCATACAAATCCTTGTAAATTTCAAAATTTTCAAACTGTCGTGAAATATTTCCTTGAGATAATTTACAGGGCTCAAATCTTCTCTTAATTCATAACAGGCACTTTGAGCCCTTAAAAGCATAAGGGAAAGATTTAACGACAGTTTAAACATTTCAGAATTTACAAGGAGTTGTATGGAAAACCACTTAAGCGTGACTGGGTAGCAAGAGTTATTTTTCGCATACAGATCCTTCTAATTTTCGGCAGCAGTTGCAATTGCTGCTTTTGAGATATAAGGCTTGAAAAATTACAGGTTACCTAATTTTAATATGCTCTTTCAGCTTGTGCTAACAAAATTTTTCAAAAGCAAACTGTTTTTGTGTTTACTGAAAGTTGATTACGTGATCAACTAATGCAAAAGACCTGTTGCTTTTCAGTTGATTTATTTGGTTTATCAGTTTTTTTTCTTACTTGAAATGAAATATTAAGTACTTCAGGTCCATGTTTAATAATGGAAAGGTCATCAATGTGTTTGGCCACTGTTACTCCAGTAAATTAACAAAATTTAATGAAATAACAACTTTAAAAAGTACTTCTGACCTTGAGTTAATTTTTTTTAAAGATCCCTACATAGAGAACTTTCCAAAGAGAACTATAGTATGAGCTATGATGCCAAATATAAGGCTGAACTCAGGAATGACAAGTAAGTACATGAACTGTGCTAACTTATAAAAGTGATTTATAGAGTATGACCGATGACAACAAAGAATAAGAACAGGTTAGTAGTAGTTAGGGATGGTAAGTACATGTACATATATGATTGTATCTTAGAAGAAATCGGATGATCTGAGGTTCAAATAATATGATTAAAAAAAAAAATACTACAGTACATGTACAGTAGAGTGAGTTGCAGTGTTACATTAACATCAAAATGGTAAGTTATCAAATAAATACTAACTGTAGATTAGTTCCAGGTGTTTGAAAACTTGTGTCATCAAATCTATGAGATTATAAATCAGAACATTACATGAATATGATATGATCCTTAAAATTAAGGAGCATGTGCCCATCACTTAACATATTTTTATTTTAGTGTTCAAAAAAATGACTTCAGACAAAATTCACTGACTTAAAATTATTTTAAGAAGATTTTCCAGAAAACTATCACTGAAACAAAAGGCAGCTTGGGCATTAAATATAATGTTATTAATTATTGCAACCATTTCGTTTTGTTAGGATTATAAAAAGGTTGCTGGCACATAATTATTGTTATCCTATTGTTTAGATTTCAGTAGCAGAAGAATTTAGAATTTGAGGACGGTGTGTGTCTTCAGTTGCTTACCCCCACAGGCAACTCGAAAAAGAAAACTGACTTCTTTCAGCAGGCCCCAATCTATGAGCTTTTAGACACTACTCCAGATGCTCTACTGAACACTGTTGAGCTACACAAGACTTGTGTGCAAAATAATGCCAATTACTACAAAAATCTTGCTTACTGCTAGGACTGTTCTGGACTGTTGATAACTTAGGGGGCCACTTCACAATGATATGAATGTGATTTGAATTTATAAAGCCTGGTGAATATATAATAATACATTATTTTCTTTAGTCAGTATTAAACACAGGCAAGAATAGTGGTTTGGGCAACTGTGGCAATTTACTAAAAAATCAAGTGGGAGTATTGACTCAAAAAGTGCCAAGTACAATTCAACAAACATTTGCAAAATGAGTTTTACTGCCAAGTACAATTCAACAAACATTTGCAAAATGAGTTTTACTGGTTTACACCGGGAGTGACACCCAGATTGTAGGGTAGGGTCACATATAATGCTAGACTTGCAAATGTTCACTGCCACATACTTTGTACGTTTTTTTTTTGCCTTTAATTACTGTACAGTTAGGTAAAGAAAGAGTTGGTTACCTTCTTCCACCACGTCCAATAGGGCGAGGTTTATCAACAAATCCCCTTGTATCTGCAGGCACCCTCACTTGAGATGTAGGCTCTACAGGTAGGCAAACACATTTTTGGCTTAATATTGCAAAAATGACTGACTGACTTATCTAGATGAGCCAATGTTACAGATTACTCTTTTGCAGTTTTTTTTTACCGCAAAGAGTGATGAAAATGAAGTTCAAGGTTTTTTTACTACATTATAATAATAATGTGATAATTTATGTTAAATCCTTATGATATACAACACATGTGCTGAGTGAATGTAACCATGCTAAGATGATATTACATACAGTTCTTGGAATTGAACCACCACTCTACAAACTTGAAAAATGATCTACGTACACGTGCAGTCATACCTTTCACACCAATCTTTAACTTATGGAAGCAAAAACTTAGAATATACCTGATGTCGATGAAGAACTTGATACAGATCTGAGAGCTTCCATGCCATGCACCAATTTGATTTGCTCTGGAGGCCTAACCACCCCTGATATAATATCAGGATTCCATTCATTGGAGTTAGATAGATCATCTAAAAAAATTACAGAACACAGAGATGATTTGTGACTGGGAATGGACACAAGTAGTGAAGAAATTTCTTTTGTTTGATTACAAACATATCCAAAGCAAAACCATGAACATGAACCATAACACTTCAATAACACTTCAAAGTAAAATAGGCTGATTAAAAAAGATGTAATCTTGCATAATGGCTATACAGGTGACTAAAAAAATCATGCCTTAAAGTACCATGAAAGACTACATGTCAGAAGAAAAAATTCTAAGTGATGAGTGCAGAGAGCAGGACTATATTGTAGCTACTAATATTGCAAAGTTTATAGAAAAAATAGCCCTTTGCCAACTTCCTGAGAGGTGAAAATGGCAAGAGTGATGTTTCTGCTCCAAGGATGTTGAGCAAAAGAAAATAAAAGATTGTCAGCTTTAGCTTCATCCCACTGAATATGGTATCCCTTAGGTTGGAAACAATTCACGGTTCGTACTCTTTTGAGCTCTTTAAATTCAATGACTTTCCATGACTTTTTCCATAACCATAGGTTTAGCTGCCACACTGAAAATTTCTAAAAGTTTTCCAAACCCTGAATATTTATACATCCCATCAACTGTTGTTATGTGGGACCTCGTGTGGGCTGAAAAGCAAGTCTTCTGCTAGACTTTTCATTCCACACAGCTTCAAAATGCTCACAGAAAATGAAGATGCCTGTGGCAGATTAAAACTTATTTACTTACTTACAGTACTTTATCCATTTCTAAATCTTAGCTACAAATTCAACAAATACGTACACAACCTGCAATTAGCAAAGACTATTATTGAGGCAGGTTGAGTAAAGAGAATTAATTAGATTATTAAATTTTAAAAGTTACCGGAAAAACTAGAAAGAAAACTGCAATAATAAAAAAGTAGAGCACAATCAATGATACACAACAGGGGAATAGTAGGTAAATAAACTCTGCATGTTTACAGGAAAAAAGGACACAAATAATTTATAACTCAAGACTGACTAGCTATAGAATGCATCAAAAAAATAAATAAATGTGGGGGCATTAAACACTTAAGATTGCTAATTTGGTGGTAACTGTATGTATCAAAATATACAAACCTTTTCTAGAATTGAAAGCATTATTGTTATTTTCTTCAATGCTTCTCCATCTGTTAGCATCCACATCTCTTTTCTCCTGGCCTCTTGGCATTGTAACATATGATAATGTGTCATTTGAAGAGGATGGTTTGAATGTAGCTTTGGAAACATGTGTAGATGCAGATCCATTTCTTAAGTCATCTGTTGTATATGATGAAGATTGTGTAAAAAAACTGCCATCGCTTGAAACAAAATCTGGCGTGGAAACAGGCCTTCTAAAAAATTTAGGAGAACATAACAAAGAGAAATAACTCAGATATCAAAGTGAAAACTTGCAAGACAAAATCACAACCATGTTGTGCTGCTGGTACCTCAATGAACATGCTATTTCAGCAGGCAATCAGAATCTTTAAGATACATGCTGCATATCTTATTTTTCTCTTTTCATTGCCCTTCACTTGACCTACATTGTATACAGGTTATGTATGGTTAAAATTAATTAATTGATGGCTGAAATACGTGATACACCCAATGCAAAAATTCAAACATGAATTCTGAAGCCAAACATGCATATCACTAGCGGCTACATAAGACCTTCAAGGTGGGTTCTAATATTGCAAACTAGACAAATTGTGAGAATTAGGTAAATAAGATATGATAAACACTACATGCATCTGATGGAGATGTGTCAGGGAGAGTCTGTAAAGGTACTGTGTTTGATATACACTCATCAATGTCTTTTTGTTTATCTAATTAGAGAAGAACAGGTGGAAAAAAACAGAAGAGTTCTACGCAATAACATGTGTCAACTAGCACTTGTGTTAAAGCTGAAAGTGATAACCTTATTACAACATTTTTACTGTGTATGTATTCAACATATTAATTGACAAAACATAGAACTTGAAGGTGATACACGGCAAAACTCAATAATATTGCAGAAATATAAATTTATAATGGACAAGACATTGAGATCAAATCCATACAAACACCACTATTTTGCAAACTTTGGCATTGAGCATGTAATTTTTTCATTATTACAATATTATTACTATAATATACACAAACAACAGTTGGTATGTATTTACAAATTAACATTTTAAGCATGACCAAGATGGGGCTGAAGGAAATAAAAAGCTCCTTATCCCACTAAGTCTACAAAACAAATTCTACAGATATGTTTTTTAATAATCAGAAAAGACTAGATATTCTCCAATGATTTAAGTGGTAAAAATAAATTTCCCTACATTGGACTCCAAAACTGATTGAACAATAATTCTTTGGTCAACATCTAGCTATTTATTAATATACACACAGAAAAAACAGCCAATACAATATATTTAAAAAATAAAAGAAAAAAGTACAATTTCATTTGGTATCTGATCTATTGTATCTGTGCAAGCAGTTCATTTCCTTATTTAATCTTGAAACAGACACATTCAGTAAAGTATTAAAAGACTATAAAAATAATGAATGCAAATTAGCATGAAAATTCACTTTCAAAATAGTCTGCTTTGGGTGTAAATAAATCAAAATCCTCTAGTCTGTAACAGAAAATGTTCCCTTCTATAGCACACAAATAACGAAAACCACGCAAGACGTTATAAAGGGACAACTGCAGTATTATGATGTATCTCTAAACAGAATGATCCTCTTTCAATGCAAGCAAAAACGATGAACATGTAAGATGAATGTCTTGTAAAATTAATGTAGCAATTATTGTCAAATAGTCACTCTTCAATAATACTGGGATCATAGAAGACAAAAGTTAATGAAAGAGTGAGATTTCTACTGGTAAAGGAGAAAGGATAAACACAAGCTACACATTGAAAATCAAAATGATTATTATTCAACCATAAAAATTAATTATTGGTATATTATTAGTATACCTTTTAAAACTAAAAGTTGCTTTGGAAACAAATCTTCTTTCACTAGCCATGTTCTTTCACAAACAGTTTCTTTCTGGTTAAAGATTCACTTATCAAACATGGACAGATAGCTACTTGTAGCATTTGCACAGCATAGTTCAACCCAGCTTGTAATTTAATCCCCTTTTCTCTCTCAATAACAAACTAAATGAACCACATGCCATAAAAGGTAAGAGAGCAATTAATAATCAATTAACATATCCAATGAAAGACAGGGTCATTAGGACACTTTGCACTTGCGTAACAAAAAATAAACTTTTCATTCTTTGGAGATTATGGAGCAAAATGTTAAAAATTGAAGAAGAATTTGACACATTTTTGTCTGCCTTCACTGTGTTTTAGGAGAGCTTTACAAAGAAACAAACTGTAATGGTGGCAAATTGAATTAAGAATGTCCAACTCCTCAGTACAAAGTATTTTGACAGTAGCTAAAGCAAGTCTTTGAACTTTTCATTTTTTTCAAAATCTGGTTAAGAGCTTTGATGGATTAAAAGTGTTATGTGTGATTACTTATATCTGAAGTGGATAAAGGGCCATGAGGCAAATCAGGTCACAATAACAGCAAAATTGACCAAAATATATAAGAGTCTGTAACATAGCCCCCTATGTACAATAAAAACCAGCCACCCCATGCTGTTGAATAAAAAAACTAACAAAATTATAGGAATATATAATAATATATAATAAGTCCATTTTTTTAACTCACCTACAAAGAATCATTTTTAGCATGGATCCTGTCTTTTTAATACTATTAAGAGCATCACTGTGTGTCCAATCTTCACAGTCTGCGTTGTTGATGGATTTGACCAGCAATCCCTCAGCAATTCCTGCCATTTCAGCTTTGCTATTTGGTGTTACCTAAAATGACAATTTAACAAAATAATTAGTGATATATACATACATGTAGCAAAGATACTAGTCATTTCTCAAATTAGATCTCTGGGTCCACTTACATTTGTACATTTTCCAGTAGGACATGGTGTGATATTCAAAACAAGAAAGAAAACCTATTGCAACTAATACTATTTTTTCAAATTTTATCCTTGGTTTATTTCTTTTTTTCTTTTACAAAATAATCATACAAAACCTTACCCAAAGAAAAAGGAAAATAAAATTTCAAAAAAGGATAAAATTGAACTACAACTGTTACTGATATTCAGCCAGCAGTATCTAATATCTTAAACCAGACCTTTAAGTTTGTGCAGTCTGCAGCTCATCATTAAAAGCATTCTGTTTCCATTAATTGACTATCGGGAGTTGAGGGGGGGAGAAGACATAATACATGTTCAAAAGGGGGCACCTAATGGGGCTTATTAGAGACATCATTATAGTAGCTGGCCAGCATGGACCCTATTTTAAAGATACTTTGTGGTTTCAGTTTTGCAGTTGGTTGAAATATCATTTCAATTACATTTTATTCAAACAATAAAATGAAAAATAAAAGACATCATCAGTACATTAAAAATAAAACTAGATCAAAATTTTAAAGCTAAAACAAATTAACCTGCATACCAATAAACTTTCCCCGATGAGACTACTATATAAACAATTGTGCAGACAGTAACGTACCACAAAAAAGACAAAATATGGGGTTACAAAGAAGCACGGGACGGGTACATTTTTTCATGGAGACAGAAAAATTCACTCTGTACTTGTAATCAAGTACTGTAGTGAAAATAAAGGAATTATGTCAGATTTTGACAAAAAATTATAAATATAAATATTTTATTTGCTTCGCATGATAATTCACAGGAAGTGGAATTTTTTCGTAGCTAAGTCTTGTAACTTTAATCTGCCGTGCTTGATCTACTTATCTATGAAAATTTGAAACACAATTTTATACGTACATTATAGTTCAAAAGATACAAATGCTGGTAAAAGGAGAGCAAACACTTCAAAATAAAACTGGATGTAGTCTAATTTTGGCAACGACACAACTTAGTTTAAGTGGCTACAATCCAGAGAACAACAGGCATAACTGTCACAATGAAAAAACTTTTGATAGTCTACACGAGAATTGATTATTATTTTTACACTTCTAGCCTAAAAATGAATTTTTGTCTGAATTTTTATACATTTGCCATGACAAAATAATTTGGCATTCATCTGGAATTTTATCAGCTGAATCAGTACTTCATTCAACAACAAATCGCATTAAAATATATAAGCTAAGAACCTCTATCCAACAAAATTTAGTAGAGGCCCGTTCGTTTACAATACATCATTAATTCATAAAATTAAAACAGAGTATGTATCAAGATTTACAAACAATCAAGCGCGCATATTCTACTGAAGAATGCCACTTTTTCCAATCCAGTTTTACAGTAAGTATGATATACTGAAGAAAATATCTTCACCGAGTAATTGATATTATTAATATAATTTACGGATCACCAAATTCTATTTAACCACAAGTGTTAATTTCATGAAACCAACACGAAAATTGTTCTGCCGCAAAAGAAAAATTACAACGTGGCAGGAGATTTCTGCAATTCAAAGGAAAGTGAATAAGGTTCTGTTAGAATTGAGTTCCACAGTATTATTCCTATATTCAGCTTAAAACACTTCGTCGCTTCAATAACTTGGCAGAGGTTCGTAACGAACCGTGCGCTTAACATTCGAACGAATTATATTGAAATAAAAACTTGGGAAAACTAACTAACCTAATAAATATAGACAACAAAGGAAAGAAACTACTAATTCCTAGACAAAAATTAATTTATTAGGAAACAGAGTGGTAGAAATAAATTTGTTGAAATAGATACAAATCCTTACAACCGGTCACTGAAGTCTTATCGGAGACCTATCAAATATCGTTCCTACAAAATTTTAAAATTCAGAAATTGGCGTTAGTTTATACTGTTCGTGAGATTTCAATGCAGCGAGACTCGAACGAGATTAAATCCGTAAAATCAATTTAACGGTTTAGTGAAGACTTAAAAGAAAATATATTATTGCAGTTTGGAAGAGCAATCGCGAAAATAAAGTACTGTGTAGAGTGAACAAAGATTTAGCGGGTTCACAGTTTGTTTTGCTGTCACGGAGCATTTCAGCCTCCGAGGCATTTGCTCTCTTACGGACATGACATTTAAATTTCATGGTCATTTCATGACAACCAACCTTTGCAATTCTTAAAGGTGCTCTGAACTCCCTGCCACCTTGCAATCTAAAGCCCCAAGGAGCTCCGCCGCTTAATACAACTTCGTAAACCTCTGAAGACGCCATGATTACCGTGAGTAGCAACACTAATTACCCATCATCCTGTTCTTACTCGCTTGACGAGGGTCAAGAGCCGCCTTTCCATATAAGGAAAGCCAGCCGCGGCAAAAATTATTCGAGTCACACTTGTTCTGTTTTTTGGGGGGAAGTCACGCAACGGCTACGGACTATTAATGGCCTATTATCAATACTGCGTTCTACTACTAGGCTATATGTTATAGCCCACTAGTAGCGAAAAGCGCGGGCTTTTTGGCGGCAAAAAAGGATTAAAGTCTAGCTCTAACTAGCTAATTTTTTTTTATCCTCGCTATTTTGGACCAACTAGTTGGATTTTACTAAAACAGTTATTCCTCTCGCCCTCATGGCCTCTGAGTCAATAGTGAACTTACGCAACAGGACGGGCGAGGAAAGAAGACGGCAAACCTTGTGTGACAACCGTGTGTTTGGAATAACTTTTCGCCAAACATCACTTTCCTTTAAACAGATCTTTTTGTAAAAACAAGAAAACATTAACGCCAAGTGAAGATCACGACATAACATGCAAGTTATAGCCCTGTCGAGTTTGTCACACACAAACATTTTGCCGTCCTCTTCTTCCTGCCGTCCTGTCGCGTAAACTCACTAGTAGCCCATTCGGCCTTCCGCCTCATGGGCTTATTAAATCAGAGCCCATTCGGGTTCGAGGAATAATTGTTAAGTAAACTTCTAATTTTACAAAGAGAAATTTTATAAATGATCTTTTACTTATTAACTGGGATCATTCTGTTCCTGATAACGAAACGAACGTCAATAAGCTCTTTTTGTCTTTTTACAACAAACTAAATAAAATAGTCAATAAACATGCCCCCTTTAAATCTATCTCACGACGTAAAGTTAAATGTTTTTCAAAGCCGTGGATTACCACTGGAATTTGTAAATCTATTCAGACTAAAAATAAACTTCTCTCGGAGGGTAATTCTGCTACATATAAATTATACAGAAATAAAATCTTAACATTAACACTGCCCCTCATAATATTTCACATCTCTTTATTCCTACTCAACAAATCCACTCTTACAGCACTCGCTCCTCCTCTTCTGGAAATTATTACATTAGCCACTCTAGACTAAATCAGAAAAATGATTCGTGTTCTATTATGGGAGCCAAAATTTGGAATAGTATACCTGAAAATTTACGAAATTCTTCAAAATCTCTCTTTTTCACTTCAACTATTCGTAATAAATCTTAAGCCGTCTACACACCACCTGCCTCGATTAGCCTTGCTATTTGCAGGTGGTGTGATATTTGTATATTTAATGTAAGAAATGAAGATGTTGTTGTTGTTCAGCGGGCCATTCAGTGCCAGTAGGCTAGTTCTACCGGCAGTTCTACCACCGTTTGACAGTGGGACTCATGGTCTCACTGCATGTCAGTTAAGATAAAGCCTTAGGTAAGGCACTCTAATTTTAACAAGAGATCATGCTCTTTTTCGTATAGTGGTAAGTACAGAGGGAGTCAGCGAGAGCTGCTAAACTCTAATGGGTGACCTTTGGGTGATCTCTGGGTGATCTCAGGTTAATTAACTTCGAAGAGGAAATCATTATTCATTGAGCCTGCAAGCAAGATTCGAGCTTTTTGGCTCTCGGAGCTTGGTCTCGACGAAGTCGGGGGGAAACGCTTCCTTCGCACACTCCGGGCGGATACTGTAGCGACCTTGAGTTCGTGTCCTCATGCGAGAGTCCGTAATAGCGGGAGTTTACTGTAAAATATGTTTGTCTGGGATTTAGTTGCTGTCCGTATTATCTGGGTGTCCGCAATTCGAGAGTTGACTATAGAGGTTATGAATTCTTATTTACACTAGGTTGAAGATAAACTAAAGTAAATCTTTCTACAAGTTTCCATTACCGTAACATGTTTCATTTCGAAAATACAGCAATTTGAACTTCCGAGTTTTCACAGTGCGTGACATCAAAATAGGGGTTGGTAGAATGCTTTCTGGTTGAAAAAAAAGTCTCTCCTCTTGATTTTCAGCAGTATAACCATTTTAAGTATTAGAAGATATGTTTGTGCGCACGTATGCTAGTTCTCGAGTGAAAAGAAAGAGCTTTTATAGAAAATCTCAACTCCAGATGTTTTTGTTGATTTTCCGCGGCCATACTACTTTTACTAGTGGACCAAAACGGTCCACCAATTCTGTCTTAAACAGGGTAGGAAAATCAGCGATTTTTGTCTTAAACAGGGTCAGGGTATGAGGGGCCGAGCCGCACCTCCCCACCCAAGATATATCGAGTACCCCCCCCGGGGTGGAAGGCTACAGAATCAGGAAAGAAGGTGAATACATTCACACTCCGTGGGGGGGATTTGCGCTCAAAAGTTCAGCCTTAAATCTAGACTGTTCACAGTCCCCTTTTTTTTCGTGTGATCGTTCAGATATACCGCGTCTTACCGTCACGGGTATCTTGATTTTCAAATGTACCGAGGGGGCGGGCGTCGGGGATTATAGCTCTGACCGCGGGGAAGGGGAATAGGACTAGTATGTACGCGGAGATTTTTTATTACTTTTTGCGATTTAATTTTGTAATTTTTGTTTTTTTGCAAGACTTTTTGCTACCCACACCCACACCCACGACCTCTACTCACTAGCCACGACATTTAGCTACACTCATCGCCAAATGTCGGCTGTTTTCTCCGGCTACGTGGAAATGTGTGTCACTGAATAAATTGCGCAGCGGGGTAGGTCCTCCAATACATTGTCGACTGGACGATGAAATACTATCCGGGGCAGGGAGTATAATTCTTGCTTCAGAAATGGCGATTGAGTTACTGACATGGAACTAAGGTGATAATTGTTGTTTTGACAGTGCCGGCTAGGGAAACAACTGCGTAAAGAACGACAAATTGCGATAAAATTGCCCTAAATTGCAGCAAATATGCGGAAATAGTGTATGAAAAGTGGAAAGGACCTCGCATTTTTTTAAATTCTGTCAACCTTGTTTGCTTGTCTTGACACTGCAAAGTCTGGGTCATAAGTGCAATATACGAGAAAATCCGCTGCAGCTGTGAACTTTCATCCTTCAGTTTCCCATACGATACATTTCAATAATTAAATGAAAGTTCAATACTGAAATATCGAAGCTCCTTCATACAAAAGTTTAATAGAAACTCCCATCAATAGTGTTTACATCATCAGTAAAAAATGAAAGCAAGTAAAGAAGTGTTTATGTACTACACGCAAGATAAAAATTAACCACGAAAAACAGTCACAGGAAAAATCCTTACCAACTTACACAAGTCTCCCCCACACCCACTTTCCTCGAGAGCTTACATGCAGGCTAAATGTAGAAACAAGAATTCAAAGTAGATTTTAAATTTACAGTTCTTAACCCTTTTAGCCAATTTTCTTCTAAAAAATGGGTTATGACAATAAAATGATTATCTAAGGAAAAATGCTTTGATTGTCCATATTGATTGTCTAATCCTTTTAGGAAATGTATATAGATCAGTCTGGAGAATTTATTGGTGGATATTGAGGAATGAAGTATTATCATACGAATTTCATTCCAAAATTGTATCGGGCTTTTCTCAACACCAACGAGCCTATAAGATCATTAGGTAGAGTTATCTCATACTGGCTGCTGGCAGAGAAGTTGCCTGCTTGAATATTGAGAAAAGAAAAAGAAACATGTACGCAAAATACCATAATTTAACAGAAGCAGTATTTGGCTGCTCACTGACTCGGATCTATTTCGGAGAGAAAAGTGATGCAGTTTATTTTTCTGAAAGATAGTTGAGTAGTGAAACAGGCGAGTGGGTGAAACTAGCTTCCCGAGTGAGAACGCGACGCGAAAGAGCGGTGATTTCTAAACTTTCGCGTGTTTAGGCTGTTCTACCTAGCAATCGCCTGCCCCTCGGTTTTAGTCACACGTTCGGCAGTTGTAGCCTAGCTGCGAGCAAGTTCTCGTGTTGGGTTTCGCGAAAGGATTTACTCACCGTCGCACTGGCTGGTCTCGCAACGAGCCACTCAAGTTAGATCCTCGCGGCTTCTAGAGTTCACCAGTACCACAGGCTACTGTTCCACTACCATTTGAAAAAATTAGGCCAAGACCAAGCGTCAAACTTTTCATGAGAAGAACAAAACTGAGCGAAAAGTTCGTCGTCTGTCTCAGTTAAGTTCGTCTGAATAAGTTTGGATCGACGAACACGTTCTATTCGTCTGATTGGTTCGATTCTTCATTAGTTCAACTTTCGGAACCAAAAGATGAACTTAACTGAGGTCGACCCAAATTACAATTTATTATACTACTACATGAGATATTTCTGCAATCTGATTGGCTTAGAACAGTGGTATTTCAGCTTAATTTGAAATACCTACATGTGAAAATTACAAACCTTTTGCGGGTAGTAGTATAAACAAATAATAGCATGATTTGTACGTGATATTTGGCATAAATACCACTCGTGATATTTCAAAATTGTCTCAAATTTCACTCGCCTAACGGCTCGTGAAATTACGTATAACAATTTCGAAATATCACTCGTGGTATTTATGCCAAATATCACTACAAATCATGCTATTACCTATACTAATAATATCATAGGTGACGAATTGCTCCTTAATTTTGGCGCGAAATTTCAGCGATAATTTGTAATTACAAAATTGCCATGGCAACCTTCCGTACGTCTCAGAGTCAAGATGGCGACGAAGTTTTAAAATGTCATGAACGAAGATGCCAGGGCATATAAAGACGCTTTAGAAAACCTGAACACACCAAAGAGCACATCAAGAAGGATTCTAACAGGTATTTTGTCGATCGATATGATCCAGTATAAACATGTCAAAAATCCAAGATTGCTAACGTAATTCGTCACCCATGATATTAATACATACCTGCCAACTCTCCCGGTTTTCCCGGGAGTCTCCAAGTTTTTCATCAAATCTCCCGATCTCCCGGTTAGAGCACCAAATCTCCCTGATAAAATGGACTTTTGAGCATTTCTGTGCTTTAGTTTGAAATTTAGTCCATTTTTTCACAAAATTCGAACTTTTTTTATTCATTGTACAGTTTCTGGGACATTTTTGCACATGTTTAGTCAATGACAAAGATTAGCGCATTTTGATCCCATGTACGTCATGTAAGACGTCATATAATGTCCTAAGGCAATTCGTTGGCGCGGGCGGGGGGTTGTGGAGGGGGGGTGTTGGTGCTGTTGACATTCGGGGGTGGGGGGGGTGTAGTGCAAAATAGAGAGCCTCCAGATTTTAGATCTCCGGAGGTTGGCAGGAATGTTAATGGGTAATCAAATGGTATACTCGTGAAATTAGGGAATGATTTCACTTGCGTTTTGTCCAAATCCTTATAATTTCCCGAGCCTTTAGGGGAGGGAAATTATTAGGATTTGGACAAAACGCGCGTGAAATTATTCCCTAATTTCACTCGTCACCATTTGATTACACATTATTTGGTGTTTTTTTTTTTTTCATGAAAAGTTGGACGTTTGGCCTTGGCCTTACGGACAACTATAGCCTAACTATGGCGTTGAGTTATCACTCAACCTTTTTTACAGTAGCCCTTTCTTTAAGATAGGAATGATAATAAAAGTTAGAAAATAACCAGATCATGGTCATTTCATATATAATGCCATAATAACACCATCCGTGCTGCAGATAACCAACCACCATGTGACATAAGCCGATCATAAATTGTATGAGCTGTAGTTGTGTCAGGTTCTTCTTCCAGGCTGGTCTTTGACCCGGGTTAAGGGCGGAATATCCATAGTAGTAGTAGAGAAATACGTGAATGATGCCATTAAGTCCGAGGGGTACTGATATAGCAGGCCAGTTGCCGTATGTGCAGGCATACTCACTTAGCATCACCATGGAGGAGTGATGGTAGACCTGCAAAGAGCACATACGACATCAGCAGGGACAACGAAAAAAAAAAAGGAAAACTAGTGAAAACGTAAAAAAAACTGACTTCACTTCGTCTGAAACTTTTTCGCAATATTCCAGCTCGTTCAGTTATTAAAAAGTTGGGAAATGAAGTTTTCCGAGTTGGAGTTAAAAGAGAAGGGACCACGTACAAACTCAGATAGACAATCTACAGTCAGTTCATGTCGTTGTACAAGAACGGCGAGGAAATTCATATACAAAAATGCATGACGCACGTGCCCCTAGTGTCGTTGAACTGTGGCACTTGCGGGGTGTTCACATGTGCAAATCACCCCGGTGACATATGTATTGGACATGGCGGTACGCATCACCGTTGGGACATACATACATCATACATACATACAAACATAACCTTTATTAAAGTGTCTAATCGTTGTAGTGCCTATTGGCACTAATTGAGGACACCTTTAAAACTAAATTACATCATTAATAGAAACTAATTAAGTACTATAAAACATATAAAAAAGCTGGAAATTAAAACTATTCAAGCTATTCTACTATTCTACTATTCTAGAATAAAAATGTAGATACTTCAAAATCAAGACTGAAATTACTTTATAGGTACGGTAGCCCCAACGCACACTGACATCTTGCACCATGTCAACATTTTAAAACGAAAAATAGTTAACCAGTAATCAGGCTTGTTCCGAATATTTCTGACTACGAAAGCATTTTATGGATAGCCTAGTTGCACTCTGGCGAGTCCCCAGCGAAACTTCACAAACAATGCTCTACACCACACACAATTTTAAATGTAAACCTGCAATCGGCGACAAAATTAGTTGAGACACTTCGCCTTAAAGGGGCTTTCTGATGTTTTAGTGACTTCCAAAGGGGAAAATAAAGCTTTTCCTCCCCCATCCCCTCCACGCAATGTTGTGCCGCTGTTCGAGCAACCCATAGAAAACAACAAACACCGCAACTTTGAATGGAGGGGAGGGGGACGGGTGTGGATTCTTTTGTTCTCAGTAGTTACCCTATTTGAGTACAATGTCTCAACAATTTTGTCGCCGAATGTGGGTTGAAAGTAAACGGTTTATTTGGAAGAGAAATCCATGGGCTTGGCAAAACGCAGGACATCTGATGTTACTTACATGGAGTAGGGAAATTTGTCGCTGTCTGTGTCTAAGTACCATAAACACAGTATCCAGAAGCTCAACGTACTTTGTCATGTAATATACCCAAAGACCGTGCTTCACAAGCTCATCTTCTTCACAAACAAAGAGCGAATGCGGCCAGTTTCTTGCAAGCGCCACAACAATAACAGCAACGGAGTAAAAACTGATCAGGCTGCATGCAAAGTTGTAAACCACAAGAACCTGCGTGAAAAAGGATGGCACATTTAATACAAGAACGCGTGTTAAAGAGTTCCCTTTGATTCCAGGAAAAAATCTCGAAAATAAGGGAAACATACAAGGAAACGAATAGAAAAACAAGTACAAAAGCAAAGAATGGCATGGGGTGTCCGGGGGCGTTCACGACAGCCGTTAACGATCACGGAAAAATTTAGTAAGGCTATGTTCACCGTATACCACGAAAAGCCATCCGATATTGGCGAATCTTTGCTGACGTCTTTGTTTACATTTTTCAGCTCTTTGCAAGCAATATTGAAGTAACTATCAGCCATCAACAACTGCTGAGTGGCAAAAAAGTTAATGAGCCATACATTCTCTGTAAAATTTCGAGTTTTTGGAAGACAATTTTCTCCGAAACCATTCGGTGTATTGGGCTCAAATTTTCAGAGATAACTGAAACTGTTATGCCCTTTCAATATTCAGAGTTTTTATTTTATTAACGTCATCAGATAGTGATAGCATATGTTAATAAGGCAAAAAGTGTAAACAAAGATTCGCCTATAGTGTAAACACTAAACAGCAACGCAGAACTGGAACAAGTCGTTCACACAAATCGAAAATCGTAGCGGTTGGCCGACAGGGTTTGGTAAACTAAATCACAGTCCCCACTCCTGAATATTTACTTCCGTCTAAGTGGATTCCTACTTATTCACTTCCTCTATGGTCCGAAACCCTGTTCACACTACACCAAGCTTCACTCCGTTACAGAAATCACGCCGAAGTGACTGTGTGAAAAGAAGATCTCCCCAGAAGGGTTTTTGCGCCCGCGCACAAGCTATCCGTTATAGCGTAAACATATTCTAAGTTCAGCAAACGTAGCGATTGAGACGATCATACCCGCCGAAATAACACTTAAGTGATCGTAAGAATCTTAACAAACGCTAAGATAACTTGCTTTAGATCTAACTTACGCCTGGTTTCCACATGATTGTTAAGATCCCCGGACCTTTTTGTATATGAAAATCAACCTTTTTAAAGTTTCGTCCAGTTTAAACTGTCTGAAACCCTTATAAACTAAAAAGCACTAAAAAGCCCCATTTTTTTCGTTTGTTCACACGAACAATAAACCGGGGTGTAGCTTGAAATTTTCTAGAGCTATTCACAGTTTTGAAAATCAACCCAAATCCGTCTCGGGGATAGTTTTCACGGAGATGGATTTACCGTTTTTTTCATCAGTGGCACTGTAGTAAGGTAATCATGTCTCGTGGCCTAAGGAGCATTAGGGTAATAAAAAGAAAAGAAAATAACGAAGAAAAAACAAACAAAGGAGACATATGCTCTTAACGCCTCATTCCTGGCAGATTTTGTACCCGATTCCCTGACTGTAAAATACTACGTAGTTCGCGCCGTGAATATTTCTGGTGTCGCCCTTACCTTACGAAGTCCAAAAGCGCGAACATTACGAATCCAAACCGGGGAGAGTGCCACGAACAACAAGTACGCGGCAACCACTGGCAGGCTGTGTAGCTTGGAAACACCATGAACAAAGTAGTGTAAAAATTCTGTAATTCAATGTAGTAACTAATTAACAGTCCTGTCTGAACCAAAGTTTGGACCCCCTCCCCCTATCCCAATCAAAAATTCCTGGATCCTCTCCTGGGATCAGTTGCAGCAAGAGAGGGTATCCTCTCTTGGTTGCTGACGATTCTAAACGCAGCTGCTCACATTGTCTGCCTAGTAGCCAAGTTCAGTCACATCACACCAGTCCTTTGCAATCTACATTGGTTACCTTCGGTATCCTTCCGGCAGACTCAGTATAAAATACTACAACTCGTCCATCGAGCTCTCTTTGGTTTGGCCCCTGACTACCCAAAGAAGCTTCTAAGTTTCAAGGAGAGTGTTTCTTATAATTTAATAAAGGTCCCCAAAACGAAGTGCATTCTCTATTTTCCAATTCCCCATAATACACTCTGTTTGCCCCCCAAATTTTGCATAAACCATTGTTTTTAAATGCTCCTGGGAGTATTGCATTTTCCCAAGAGCATTTTAAGACAATAAGTTATGCAAAATTTGGGGGGCAAACAGAGTGTATTATGGGGAATTGGAAAATAGTCAATGACCCTCCGGCGCAGGGCCTTCGCTCGTGTTGGCCCCTCGCAGTGGAACAATTTTCCTGTAGCTATCAGGAGTACCCGGAATGTTCAGGGCTTTAACCAGGCTCTGAATATACTTCATCATTTCGTTTGGCATTTTCCCAATGAACCAATTCTTGCACAGTTCATAATTTCGTTGTCAAGTGATTGCGGTGTATTATTATTTTCATTTCCTTTGGGTGTAATATTTGTTACTGTGTTCGTATTTGTCAGCATTTTTGTTCCCGTTTTAAAATATGTATTTAGTTTAAGCGCTACTAAATAAAATATCTTTACCTCTATTTACAAATTTCAAAATGCGCACGTAAAAACGAAGAAGATTTTGCGTACGCAAGTCACGTAAAAGCGAAAACGTTTTGCGTGTTCCACCATAGTCCCCTCTACTAACTATGGCTTCACTAATTATCTGTCTTATCTATTGTATCTCGCGCCGAAAATGCCGATGGATCGACTACATCAGAGAGACAGGCCGTAGTCTTCGCAGTACTTTTCGAGATCACCGGCTCCGGGCACCGACTGAACGCAGGAGCCAGCTCCTGCTGAACGTCATAACGAAGTGGTTGCCCATTGTACGAGGATGGACCACCAGTTGGAGGATATGCAAGTGGCGGTTTTTAGAGCGGGGCTCCCGTAATAAGATAAAAACGACGCGAGGAGATGCGCTTTATTCACAACTTTGGCACTTAATCGCCTGATGGACTGAACTAAGATTTCGCTCTAAAGTGAATTGTGCGCACCCGCACTATTCTTTGGATTCTCTGTTTACGTGCGCGTGTTAATTTATAATTCCCGCAAGTATCCGAACTGACATATTTTTCCCAGATGAAGACAGCATTGCCGAGACGTTGGTGTTTATACTTCAAGAAACAGCAACGTTTTATACACAATTTTCATGTGAGTGATGCAAAACGAGGAACCGTAGATTAACTGGGATTTTTCCGACTCCTCACACACCACACCTGAAAAAGGCGGCCGCTAAGGGAAGAGAATGGCGAAGAAGGGAAAAGCTTGTGTCATGTTTGTGTACTGTCCCAATGTTCCGGGAATGTTCCCTCGTGTATTCGACGAACCCGGAAAGTATCTAAAATCCTTGTGGCCTATCCCATTAGCCTACAGCCCTACCCACCCTACATCTCTATAGAAAAAATACTCATTGCAGTGTACTATCCAATGCGATCGGTAAGTCAGAGCGGCTACACCTCCAGCCGATTTGTTAGCCCTCTGACTAGAACGTATTGTCCAAATACGAAAGGACATCGTAACAATTGCCAACTGAGAACTAGTGTCTAAATATGACCATTTTTAATATTTTGTATGTCTTGGTCTGAAAGGAGTGTAGTACGAAACAATCCAAAGTCCCAATCCAACCCCTTATAAAAGTAAATCTTAAGAAAAAAATCCCTAGGGTTGAGGGCTTTACTGAGCGGCTGCGAAGGAGACAAGTGTTTTATACACCATGCAGACGTTGTCTTGGCTTGTCAGCATCAACGCTCTTCTTCCATGAAGGTAAGAGCGCGTGAAAAGCAAACCAAGGCGACTACAAGCCATCATCAACAGTAGGTTGACGTGAACGCCCGGGGGAAACTCATACGCGAAGGCTCCGCTCCAAGGTCCAACCCCTGACCCTTTTATCAGTGTTTATATACCATTTTTGACGGACTATGGTACTAGTGCATTTCGTATACCTTCTATTGACAAACCAAGTTTAAACTTTGAATACATAGTAACTGCTGTTTTTAAAATCCACGGGAAGATAAAGGTTATCCTATCTTGACAAATCACAAAACCAGAATGTCTTCTCGATTTTTTCACAGCCATAAAATGAAAATGTTAGCTATTTTGAGCCTTTCTAGCAGATTTCTCTACCCTTTTATATACTTCAAATAGTGAAATACATAATTTCATAATCCTGAAGCCTGTAAAGGGTAATCAGGCAGAGTCTCATAGTTTGAAGGGCGTACACTCCCCGCCCGCCCCCCGGCTGTGAAGGTCCACCCTTCGGGAATTTACTAAATGCCGAGGGCTGGTTCAGTAGGTTTCAATGTGTTATAAATAAATGTGTGACTACAGGCATTGTACTGAAGTGATACGTCGTTCTCTTAGAGTGGTTGCTGACAGATTCGTTTGAATAATAAAGTTTTCTTCGATAGGTCACATTCCAAAGGTCATGAGTGTCACTGTATTTATATCGACCGGTAGCCAGACCGGGCCAGAAAGTTTCTCTGCGGTGTCTTCGATATAAAGCATATTTTTGGATTTCCTTTTAATTTATTGAACCAGGAGACAATTCCCGTCCTATTTATTTATCTACGTAAACAAAGGGGGACTTGTGTACTCTTTGACCTGCAAAAAGTAACAGCCCACTGAAAATAAAATGCCGAAATAATCCTTAAGCCATTTTGTTTCTATCGAGACACATCATGACAGCAGCGTCTGCGAAGCGAAAACGTTCTGGCTCTGTTTGCTAGAATAGATGTATGCTTTATACAAAAGCGAAGTTCAGCTTTCGAAAATTTACATGAAAAAGGTTGCATAACGCGTAAAGTAGAGGGTAAGTAATTTTGAAGGAGAATGAATACATGATGTTGAACCCAAATATACCAAATTGTAAATATCGCCACGTGTTGATCTTAGCTAACTATGTAAATATACTCGCCTGCTAAAGACATCTTCATCCCAGGCTTCATCTTGAAATTCTCTTTAACTCTGCAAGAGCTATCAACCACCAAAGGAAATGACAAAACACTTGTGCCTTACAAACGACCCTCGAGTATTTAGTTGGTCGTAGAAATGCAAATTAGGTATGAACTAGATGAAGCAATTTGCATAAGATCATGTGCAAGGTTGCGTGGCGTAGAAGGACAAAATGTTCAAATGTCTGACTATAGGGGTTCAAAGTCGAACTTGTCACCGGTATTTGGCAATGTCTTAAGAAAACCGTTAGTAGGGCATCGGATGCAGCTA